TAAGAATGTGTGTGGAGCCCTATTGCATTTATGTGATCACATGTGTACTTGTTTTATACACCTCTAGTGGGCCAGTGTGGTAAGGCGATTAAAGTGTAGTATAAGGATTTGTGACGAGAAGATCTATAGTATTCTATATAAATAAGCTAGGATCTCTCTCATTCCTTAACCCTGTTATTGTCTAGTCCCATTGAAAGTCGCATTGTGAATAAGAAAACGAAGAGGAAGAACTAGTCTCTTTACAATAAATTTTAATTTCGTATTAGAGTATCTTCATTGTAGATAATTGCAAAAAAGAAATCACGAATTCCAGTTTAAATCACAAATCAAGGATGCAAATTGCTTCAGCATATTAATAGTTTGTGTTCTAAATTCATGTACCGGATCAGTTAATTTTCCTACACTATTATCATATATATAATAACACACACACATATATATGAAGAAATAAATAAAGTAAGTGATTTAAAAAATTTACTAAACACAATCAAAACTTAGAGAATTGAAAAATAACAAAAAAATGTGAAGAAAATCACTGCGAAAGACAATCATTAGAACTGATTAATAATTCAAAAATTTTAAAGTATTAATTTATTTAAAATTTTTTATATATGTATACATTAGATTAGATATAGGAAAAGAAAAATAAAAATGCTTAAAGAAGAGAATGTCATGTAAGTTTTTTTGAAATATATATATATATAGATAGATAGATTTGTTTGGGAAGAAAATTAATCTTAGGCTATATTTTATTTGGAAAGAGAAGGTAAATATGTTAAGTAGTTCACATGAGGGCAAGAGTTCCTTTTTAGGAGTAAATGACATGTAAAATGCATGTGATTGGCTGATTTTTAGCTAAATAACATATTACATGCTAATGGATGAAAGATGAATCCCATATTACATGCTAATGGATGAAAGATGAATCCCATTTTGATCCAAATGTCAAGTCCAATGTGCCACTTTGCAAAAAATACATTATTGAAAATTTTTTGAATTTTAGAAATTTGATAGAAAAATTTTTCCCTCAACACCAAAATAGTAAAAATTAAAAAATTCAGACACCGATGGTACAATTAACGCCAAAAGAATCTTGTTGTTAATTATTACTCCATCAATTTTAAAATATAATTCAGTTCAGGAGATTATTTTATTTAGAATATAAGACATTTTGTAACATCCCTTCCCGGTCCACCCGTAAACCCGAATAAACCGAGTCGAGACGTTACAAACTGGTTGACTTTATGTCGGGTTTCCAAGCCGTAAACCCGAATAAACCGATGTCGAGACGTTACAAAACTGGTTGACTTTATGTCTGTCATTGCCTTATCATAATGTATATTGAACTATAATATCATGCTGATGTTGTTTACAAAAAATAATGTAAATTTTATATTTACAAAAACCATTGATAACTAGTGCTCAAAATGACATGGGCCAACTTGTGTTTGCCCCTGTACTTGCCATGAAAATGATAGACAAAAGTACACATCCAAATGAGTAGCTTACCCTGAAGACTGACGTCTTCTTACAGATTAACCTGCAGCAGTTTTGTAAGCTGACTCTATACGGTTCCAATCTCAAAACCTGCGAGTTTAAACAGGTAACTCGCTGCGAGCCAAATAAGCTCAAAGTGGATATCTCACAATAAAAAAAAAACAATTAAACCACATAACATGTATTATAGAAAGGAACCATGTAAACAACATATTATGCACATATTAAGCACACACAATCATTGATACTTTCATGATACCATTTTATTATCTTGTTGTTCTGTTTATAATACTGGTATAATTCATAAATGTTTTATTGTCAGATATTCTGTATGGCTCATAAGGTTGTAGTGAAACCGAAGTTGATAAAAGAAAAACTGGTATTGAAACTGGATGAATACTGTTATGCTGGCTGCTTATGCCCATATATAATCATATCACTCAACGGCCTGTAGCCGGAGATCAAACTGTATGCAGGTGCAGATCTTGCTATCCTATGGTTGCGACATAGCCTTATTCTACATGCGTTTCTACCTAACCTCAATGGAGCCATAAAAATGTTGGTATTGTTAAATAATATAACACAACATCATATTAATAGTTTCATAACTTCATAATTCATAATGTTTATTTGATTTCAACATCATTTGCATGCGTGTGAATGTTTGTTTTGATACATGTTCTAATGTTGTATTTGATGTTAAAATTGATTGGAGGCATATAAGTGAAGCAAAGGATTAACAATTGCATGAAAAATGGAAAGTCCCAAAGTTTGCATGAAAACACAAGTCGCGAGCGCGCCTTGCAAAATTCAAAGTCGCAGAGCGGCGTAATGGCACACCTGAAGGTCAGTGAGTTTCCAGGTGAAAGTCGCGGGAGCGCACACTTGAAAGTCACGAGCGCGTTTAAGTTCAAAATGAGAGACAGTGAGTTATCGGGCACAAGTCGCTCCGAGCGGCGTTACTTGAAAGTCGCGAGCGGCGAGAAGCTTTGCCAAATGAGAGACAGTTGAGTTCCCAGGCCGAAATTCGCTCTGATGCGCGCCAATGAAGATTCGCGAGCGCTTACAGGCAAGGCCAAGTACGCGACGCGCTGTACTTCAAAGTCGCGATCGCGAGAAAGTTTGCAAATGAGAGTCAGAGAGTTTCGACGCACAAGTCGCCGAGCGCGCACTTGAAAGTCGCGAGCGCGAGATTGTGTCAAAATAAGAGTTCAGAGAGTTTTCAGGTTGAAAGTCGCGAGCGCAACATTTTGAAAAGTCGCGAGCGTAGCAGAAGGCAACGCCTTCGAGCTCGTACATGCGATTCGGCGCACGCGCTCGCATTTCCAGCCTCACAGTTCTGTACTCTTTTGGTCATATCTCTCATATTACAACTCCCGATTTTGGATGATCAAAAACCCCATGTAAGCTAACACATAAAGGAAACAAATAACTCTTTCTATGACACCCTAATTCCATCATTTAAAAATGGGGTTTCAAAAAATCAAGATGAAAGTTTACTGGTAAATTTTTCAGCAGGCCCTGTTTCAAACATTAACTCAATGTTACTTCATTTAGTCATTCCTCCCCCTGTTTTCTTCACCATTTACCAGTCCCTTCCCACTCAAACATGAAGCAATATTTGTCTCAATAGCAACACACCACTACCAAATCTTCATACAAAGAAAATGGTTTAAAGGGAAAAGGATATCAAAACCCTTTACTCCAAAGCTTGAGAGTTTCTTTAACTTTCTTTTTTCTACCACTCTTAGGAACTCCCTTTCACCTATAAAATAAGAATTTCTTATGAAATTCTAAAAATAATAGCACAAATGATCAATTATGAACTTCAAGGAAGGTACTTACTTGGATAGAAGGAAAAATTGAAGTTAGAAGGCTTAACTACCATTAAAATTGAAAGGAAGTGGTAAGAGGAAGGGAAGAAAATGAAGAAGATGGAAGATTAAAGATTTGAAAAATGGGGAAAGTGAAGTGATAATCACGGGTAGGCCATCAAAAATCAAGGGGATTTTATGGTAAAGAACTTCCTTAAATTGGTACCTCAATTCGTCAAACAGTTACTACTTAATAAACCCAAAGGCTTGGTCTTTTTAAATGCAATTAAAATCCTCACCCATATGGCTTGATTCTTTTTCTCTTCACTCAAGTAACTCCACTATAAACCCATTCTAACCCCAACCGGGTTTTGGTTGGCCCGACTTCAACTCGACTCATTCTACCCCAACCGGGTTTGGTTTGGCCCGACTCAACTCGACTCTATGAAATGACTCGACTAAGTGCTAAGACTCGACTCGGTAGGATGTCACATATTTTAAGTATTTTAAGAAGTAATAGATGGAATTTTTTTCCAATTTTACTCTTTATAATAGACACAATAAGTTATTTTAACAAATTACCATTGATTTTGAGATAAACATTATTGGACAAATTATTCTTAATTTTATTATAATTTAATAAAAATTAATTATTTTTTAATCCAATATAAAAACTTTAAACGTTTTCTTGAAAAGTAATATTTGTCCGTTGACAGATTTTTCCAAATAATATTGAAAAATCTAGATTATTTTCTAAGTAAGTTATTTTTCAAAAACAAATACAACATAAGTGTTGGTCAACATTCTCTAGGTTGAATATTTTTTAAAAATTTCTTTATAAATCAATGGATTGTTTTCTTTTGTCACCCTTTGCAAATACTAATATTGTGGAATAACAAATGATATTTGGTGTCCATTTCTTTATTTATTTTTTTTTTGGTAATACAAATAAATTCTGAGAATTTTTTCGTTAATTATAACTCCATTTCTCTTAAAATATAAAAAGTTTTGAGTATTTTAATAAATAATAAATATTTTGTTAAATTATCATTAATTTCATTATAGTTTAAAAAAATTAATTATTATTTTTTAAAATTTTTATATAAAAAAATTTTAAACCATTTATGTTTTGAAATATGGTATATTTTTGGACGGTGTCGCCTAGATTCCACGTGCTTAGGATTTCCGGTACAAGTCAAGATGAAGCTAGCTGTAAGCAACAACAGAGGAGAGGAGGCATGCATGTTGTTTGGTGGCCTCCGCTTCTCAATTCTGCACGCGTGTGAGGTTAAATATGTAATTTACCATTTGAAATACAAATTAAACAAAATCCGTGTAAAAAAATCACCGTTTAAAATGTTGACTACCGTAAGTACATCACCGTAGAGAGCTGTTCGGTGAGGGATAATATTAAATAATAATATGCAAATTATTTTTCTTTCTTATATTTTCATTTTGCGTCGTTGATTTGATTTAAAATGCCAAAGCAAGGATATAAAAAGAAAATATATATTCGCAGACCAAGCAGCGAAGCAATGGAGGTCGAAAGCTGACTGTTTATCCTCCCTCTTAAAAGGCAAAAAAAAAAAAAAAAAAAAAATCCCTCTTAAAAGGCAAAAAAAAAAAAAAAAAAAAACGACGGAAAAAAATAATCCACTCCCACCTAAAGCGGACGCCGTTTTACTTGCCCAAAAAAAAAAAAAAAAAAAAACGACGGAAAAAATATCCACTCTCCACCTAAAGCGACGCCGTTTTACTTGCTCCTCTTCCTTCATCCTCTTACTCTTCTCCAATCTAAACTGGTATGATCCTCTCTCTCTCTCAGTTGATGTGGTGTTTGGCTTGTATCATCAGTGCTTGAAGTGTAGTCAACGTTTTGCAATTTTAGGGTTTTCAGTTTTATGGTCATCGAAGAGCTGATTAGTTGTTATTTGTATGTTCATTTCTTGTTAAAAATGAGTTTAACTTTGTGTTTTGTTTGATTTAGTTACTTGTGTTAAACCATTTGGTTGTGTGGAAATGAGAAATAAAGAAGAAAACTCAAATTTTGAAGGCAATTACTTATTCTTTTCCGCAAGGGGGAAAAGGATAAAATTTGTAATTTGTTTTTTTGGCTTGTTTTAAATAATTCTCAGTGATCAATTTTTTGGGTTTAGTTGTTTTATTGATTGGACTACCTTTTATGGTTTTGAATTTTTGTAAGGTAGAATTGAAATAGAAGTGTTTGTCTTCCAAATTTTTATGGACAACTTTTGGCAATTTCCTTGTCATTTCCGTCAAAGACTCTTTTAATATCGATATTTTTGGTTCTGATGAAACCGAGGGAAAAAAGAGACTTAGCTTGTTGTTATATGAATTCCTGAAGTCATGCTTTTTTTGTGCTGAGACAATTGTTTCTCATTTGTTAAACAGAATCAAGATTGTCAAATGATCCACTGCTTGTGGTGTCCAGTAAATTGAGTTGCTGGTTACAAATTGGTAAAGTTAGGACAACAGTGGTGGCACGCATTTCTATGCTTTTAAGAAGATATAGCAATGCAGTAATCTCATTCTGAGGTTCTATGCTTTCGTAATTTCCAATTGTTTTGGTGGAATTAGATGGATGTTTCCTCAACACAGAGAAATACTGAAAGTCGAGCTGATACCTACCCATTGTTAATGGAGCGAACTGACGGTCTTAACGGTAGTGAGCACATTATTGACATACAAAGGAATAATGATGCCTCCCCATCAACGTCTAATGATAGAACTGCTAGTGGTTCGGAAGCCTCTTCAAGTGAAGACAGACCTTCAACCAGTGTGAGAATGCCTGTTTCTCACTCTTCAACTAATGTATCAAACTCTTGGAACCAATCGTCAATAAGGAGAGGGGAAGCTCGTAGACGTAGGAGTCCTTTGAACTCTGGTTTATGGATTTCTGTTGAATTGGTTCTCACAATTAGTCAGATTGTTGCATCTATTGTTGTTTTGTCCGTGTCAAGGGATGAGAATCCTCGAACACCACTATTTGAATGGATTGTTGGTTATGCATCCGGATGTGTTGCAACCCTTCCTCTTCTTTATTGGCGTTTCCGTCATCGTAATCAGGGATTGGAGCAGGATTCAGCTCAGCCTCGTCAAGGTTCTACTCATATTAGTGTCCCAGCGGGGCCCTATTCTGTTTCCGTCAGCAGGAACTCAGAAGCAGATGATCGCCGAGCTGCTGCTACATCACCAAGAGGTGGCCAAAGTGCTGGAGCAGTAAATGGCAGGTAGGAATTATGATTGTTATTCTGTTGTTATATGATATATGGTACTTGTCTGGGGAAAAAAAATTGTCCATGTGTGATTTCTCTTATGAGATTTGCTGTTTCAAACATTGTGTTTAGTGTGCCTTCTGTTTCACTCAATGTCCAGAATTGGAGTTACATTTCTTTTCATTTCCATTCAAGAGTTCTTATGTGTTATCTCATCCTCTCCCCCTCCCCCCCAAAAAAAAAAAAGCCCTCCTTTCTTTTCCTTTTTTTTTTTTTTTTCTTTCCTTTTTTTTTTTTTTTTTTTCCGTTGCTGATATGTAGGCTTCAATTATGATTCATGAATCACCTCTAGTTGTATCACTTCTATGGAAATGAGCAATCAGGATATTGGGGCGATAGTGCATCCTTTTTTCCCTCCTTCCACTGTTGGCTTAGGCTTTGCTCAAATGCAGGTTTGCTGTTTGGAACAGATAAAATCAAGGCATGTGCTAAGTGCGAGACTTGACATAGGTCTTTGTGGTATGGATAGGGAGATCATGTCCACCCAATTTCCTTTTTTATTTCTAGTGGCAATAGGGATTCATTCCATATGGAAGTAAGGAAAATACCCTTTTCCGGTTGATATTTAATAACTCTTCATTAGTGCCACCAATTTCTTAAAAAAAGTATAGTTTTTGGAACACATGAACTTGTTTATGACACACTGTGCATGGTTGTAGTTCTATCAAGTGAAAAATTTCTTGGTTAAATTATTATGAAAAAATTTCAGTTTGATAAATTCCTGGTTGTGTCCTTGTTTTTTTTTTTTTTTTTTTTTTTTTTTTTTTTTTTTTTTTTTTTTTTTTTTTTTTTTTTTTTTCTAAAATTTTTTATTAAATGAACTCATGTGGCATGCAGACTCAAGACTTTAGTTGAGTACTTCAAAATGGTATTGGATTGCTTTTTCGCAGTCTGGTTTGTAGTTGGCAATGTCTGGATTTTTGGAGGGCATTCATCTGCTAACGAGGCTCCAAATATGTATAGGTAGAGATTGGTTACATTTTCACTTTCTTATAACTTTCAATTTCATTTAAAGAGCTCATCCCCATTTTTTGCATCCTTTTGCTTTGCAGGTTATGTATAGTGTTTCTTACCTTTAGCTGCCTTGGATATGCTATGCCCTTCATTCTGTGTGTGACAATTTGCTGTTGCTTGCCCTGTATAATTTCTCTTCTTGGGTTTAGAGAAGATCTTGGGCAGAGCAGAGGAGCTACTCCCGAATCCATTGATGCACTGCCAACATACAAGTTCAAGCTGAATAAAAATAGGAATATTGATGATAGAGAGAGCGACGGTGGAATTGTGGCTGCAGGAACAGAACAAGAGCGTGCAATCTCGGGAGAAGATGCTGTAAGAACTTCCTGATTCATGGGTCCCAGTTGGGAACCTTTACTTTTATTGGCTGTATGTTGTATATATTTCACGTACAAAATACATTTTCTTGTTAATACTATTGATGAAATGGTAATTGTCGACAGGCTTGCTGTATCTGTTTGGCAAAATATGCAAACAACGATGAACTGAGAGAGCTACCATGTTCTCATTTTTTCCACAAGGAGTGTGTGGATAAATGGCTGAAGATCAACGCATCATGTCCTCTTTGCAAGAGTGAGGTTGGTGAAAGTATTACGAGTTCAGTGTCTGGTTCAAATTCTAGCCAGGGACAGGCTGAGGGAAGTGTGGGTAATGGCTTGGCCACCACCATATTCTGATCTTCATAATAGGCAAGAGTAATGTCATATATATACACACACACTTGATCACCAAATTGATATTTTGTAAAGTGCTATTGTTGTTATGATTATTTTTTCTGGTCTCATGTATTGAGAAATTTCTGTAAGGATTGTGCACACCTTTTTGAATTTGCCCCTTTTTTCACTACCAAAATCAAACTTTTGCATTGGGGTGGGATGTTAGAGAGCTTTATTCTTTATTTATTTACGTTCTTATTTCTGGTTATCTTGTATCTGGCTTTCTCTGTTTGATGGGTTGGAGACAAACTGGTTTTTGCAGTGGAGCAATCGCCCAGATAGATGATCGGACTGCCAATTGGGAGAGTGGATGAGAGAGAGTTGTAGACATGTCTGCCATTGGATTTGCTTTTGGAAAACCTTATCACATTGAATGCTTTTGACAAAAGGGGGAAGAAAGAGATAAAAGATGGCAATTGTTTTTTATGTAGTTCTTTCTTTGTGCTTGTACATTCGAAATTTGCAACGGAAAATTGCATGGTCACAGATTTTTAAAGTAGAATTTTTATATTTCTGGAGTTATCTTTTTAATAATACAGAATTTTTAAAATTTTATATTTAGTTTTTTAATAGATATGTAAGTCAGGTTGACCAAATGATTCACCAACTATTTAGATGAACAAGAATTGAAAATAATAAGTTGGCGTTTGAGCTACAGTTATAGTTAAATTAGCTATCGTTAAATTAACACGTGAGAATCTTTATTAAATTAGAACTTGAAGATCTTTATTTTCAAAAATTAACTTATGAGGTTTTTAATTTATGAATTTTATTAACACTTTAGTCTTTTAAAAAATTAAAGTATTAACAGAAATTATAAATTATGGATTTTATTATTAATTTGACTATCATTTTTTAATCAATTATAATATATTAACGAGATCAAGAGTTGGGGTTCTTATTGTTAGTTTTTAAAAGTAAAAGTTTTGATATTTACTTAGCTATAATTCAAGCACCAATTTTTACATTCAATTTTTTTAATATTTTCACTTCAAAAATAAATGGATTTTTTGGAGAATAACTATTCAGTTTTCAGCGTATAATTTATTCGTGTGAATTATTAAACACTACATGTTTGTATATAAACTGTTTTGGAAGTTATTAGTTATTTTCAAGCCCTTGTAATATTAACCGTCTTAGTAGGACTTTTATTAGGGTAATTATCTTTAAAACTATTGTTAAAATGTGTAATGATATGGGAAGATAATTCGCTTAACACGAAAATTAAGCGGCTTAAGATTGATTCTGAATAGTTCGTGTCATAAATGAGTGACCTATATATGATATGAGTTTAATAGGTCGTGTAATGGGTTGACTCGTTTAATTCGTCTAGTCAATTTATTTTAAAGATAAAAATAAATTTTTATAATATATACGTATATATACAAAAATCAAGCGGATTATATGTATTTTATGTATTGGGTTTTCTAACTGTATATGATATATTTAATTAAATTGGTTGGACTTTTTACCTTTATATAACTTATTTAATTAAATTGACTGAATTTTTTTTATTTGTATAGAATCATTTAATTAAATGGGGTATATATATTGTGTTTATATTAGTCGTTTAATTTTTGTGTGGTTTATATCGAAGCTATAACCCAATAAGTAAATCCGTTTTTACACCCCTGTTATTGTGTATCGTTGAGAGGAGGATAATAGAATAAATAAAAATGTCTAACAATGAAAATATCATTTCTTGCAAATTGAAATAATAATAATAATGAAATATATTAGGAATAACTATCAAAAAAAAAAAAAAAAACAACGAAATTAAATTGATAGCTTCTTTGCTCGGCTCAATTGAATGTCCAGAGTTCATGCGGTGCTTGTTATTGTTTCGATACGATTCGAATTGTAAAATAGAGTTATACGTGGAAATTAATCTTTCACCATTATCTATTCCTTTTTTTAAAAATATTTTTAAGAATGAAAACTGAAATAGCATTAAATCAAATTAAAATACTAAAAATAGGAAAAAAATAGAAATAAAACAATGAAGCTTTACCAGTTTCTGAAAAATAATTTATATTTAAAACATATTTTTCACATAATTTGTTAAAAAAAATACGCTTTTCAAATAAATTTTATTTCTATTGTTATAATTTACGGTAATAATCAGTGATTAACGGTAATGTCAATTAGTGTTGATAGATGGCATTGACTACGGTGATCAAGTGAGTATATATAATAGTAATTAATTTTTCAAACACTCCAAATATCAGAAAAATTAAAAAATAATTTCTTGTAAAAATTTTTATGAAAGAGAAACTAAAAATAACAATGCCCTATAAATATTCTGTTTGATAATGATGATTTTCAATTTCCTTTCTTTATCCAAATAAAAATAAAAATAAAAATATATTATTTTCAGTTTACGTACACTCACTATCTATTCATACACTGAGAATCCATTTAATTTAGCTATCTATATCAACGTGATAATTCATAGAGGTTGTTGATAGCTACAGTTGATAATTAATAGCGGATAGAGGTTAGTTGATGAATGTTATCATTTAGTAAAATTTTATCAGTTAAATTGTAAAATGAGCATTAAGGATATAATTGTCTTTTTATGTACAATGAGTATAATGTATATTTTTTTATTTTTAAAGTGAATATATTATTCTTTATTCTAATGTATTGTATAAATAAAAATATTTAATAATATTTTTTTAATAATATTTAATAAAGTTATTATTTTAAATTACTATACATAGAATAATTATAAAAATTTAGATTAAAAATTTTATTAATAGTTATTTTCAACTTTTATTAATAGTTATTTTTCTAAAGTCAATGGCATTGAAGTAAAACCATAAATCAGCTAGCAATTGATATAAAAAAGCGAATCAGCAACTATTTTATTCTTTTATTTGCTATTTGCTGATTAAAAAATTTACTAAATACTTACAAACTAATTATTGGTATGAATAAACTACCAATTGCATGCATCAATTTAACCGTATATCCTATGATAGAACAATTGATTCAGGTGATTGATGATTCAAATTCAACAATAAAGTTGTATTTTTAGGTGTTTAGTAAATTTTTTAGTCATCGATTTTTTCATATCTACTGCGAGCTTAGTTGTAGTCATATTATATTTACATTTTATTAGCTTTATAAAATAATAGATATTTTTAAAATTTAATAGCGGTTGAATAAAACAATGTTCAAATTAGCAAGCATCTGATACGAAAAAGTGAATTAGTAATTATCTGCTGATTAAAAAGCTTACTAAATGTCACGACCCGATTCCATGGGCCGGACCGGCACTAGGGCCCAGGTAAGCTTAAGGCCCCCGAGACCCGTAGTAAGCCTGAAACACTAGAATCTTAAAAAAGCTTACTAAATGTCACGACCCGATTCCATGGGGCCGGAACCGGCACTAGCGCGGCCCAGGTAAGCTTAAGGCCCCCGAGAACCCGTAGTAAAGCCCTGAAACACTAGCAATCTATTATCGTCAGTATAAATTTTCAACATTCAGCCCATATAATAATGAAAAATAACCTCAATATCTTTATTATTTCTCGCCCCAAATTTATCTTCTACAGATTCCATAGTTCGAGCCCAATTTAACAATACATCACATTTCTAACATGAGCTACAGAATTATTTTGTCTATGTTAATTACCACGACTAAATATGATTAAATCCTATACAACTGCGGAGTTCACTAACAGATGTATACAGATAAGCCTTCGGACCATTTATCTATTTAATAGATCAAAACTAAAAATTTGAGAATTTCCTTTTTTAACAGTTTGAAGGAGCATAGCTATAGCTGGAATTTAAAAAAAAATGCTACTTCCTGAAAGATGTAAACAAAAGAGATGTGAGTTTTCTAAGGAATAATAATTAATTGCCCAACACACGCATTCACACAAAAGTGTATATAATATATCAATCTTAGTCATCGACTAGTTATATGCTCAACACAAGCCAGTCACACATCTGCATATCACCAGGCACTCACAATTATGTAAACATCTTCATATAATCACATCACGTGGAAAATTTGGTCTGTGTGCGCGTCACCGAAACCCCCGATGAGCCGTCCTTCCACATTGGCCCGTCCTCTCTATAAACGTAGTGGCAACCAGGGAGCCGATCCCCCATTACTTGGCGACCGGTAATCCTCACTTGACCAGCCCTCTCACTGTTTCCATTCTCTTCTTTTCTTTTCCCATACCAACAGAGGCAACCCGGTCGTCTCATCAAATTCTAGATCATCTAGGCGCTCACAACAGGAGGCCACCCTGCCGCGGCTGCGATCAAACCCTAGATTATCAGGTGCGCCCAATAAAGAAGACAACCTGTGGTTTTCCATATCAATACAAATCACAACAGTAGGTACACACGCGGGGCGCGATCTCCCATTTAACCGGGCCGACGTTCCAACCGTCCTCACAAACCCATGGTGACCCACTTCATCCCAATTCCACAAACAACAAAGCACAACAATATCAACAACGCAATAATTCATAGTATGCCAATTAAATGCAAGCATATTAATCAATTAAACATCGTAATGGCAATGCACAATTAGACAATCCAAATTCAAATGCAAAATAAAAAATAAGTTAATAGTGTTAACAACAAACAATAATAAATAAACGAATAATAATAATTAATTAAACAATAACAAATGAAAATAAATAAATTAAAATATTCGAAATACTTAAATGCAATTAATTAATATAATAAAATAATTAATCAGAGTACTTTATTTATTATAGTATCAAATTATAGAATTTATTTAAAATAAAACTTATTAATTATATTGTTAATTTGAAAACTAAATCTTAAGTTCTATCGAAACTTCGGCAGCATTCTTCCCTTTAAAAAGTGGGATTATCTAACCTGCGCCTTAAATATCAGCAATATTATATCCGATCAACCAGTACACACCACAGCCCATTCCCATCGGCAATCAAATAAAAATTAATGTTCCCTTCCTCCAATATCAAGAAATAGTATAAATATTTTAATCGCAATACTTAAAACTTTAGCCTATTTAACAATCCCAAGCTGGCTATTCTTAAGGTTAAGGCCATTACATAAAAATAACAAATAAATGAAAATAAAACATTTACCTAAACACCACTCTACTTGCGTTTAAAAGGTATCCATTAAGTATCCATATATATATGCTTGTAGTAACCCTATGCCAACTATAATTCACTCTTTCTTTTCTTTTCTTTATCATTATATAACTAAGATCCTGAATACGACTTAATAATATGTGAGTCAGCATTCTCGCCAAGCAAAATTTCAGGTAACGAACCCATTTTATTTGTCTCTCAAATCATAAATAAGCATTTATACATCAATCATCATGAAATCTTAAAAGTACGCTCATTTACATAAATTTATCCTTCTAAAGCAAAACAAAAAAAATATCAAGGTAATTGCTGTCAATTCGCAAAAAGAATTAAGTTTTTCTATCTTAAAATCATGGATCACACCAACTAACTAATTCCACGCAAGAAATAGATTTACAACCTTAATTGTACCATGTCAAACCAAAAATCAATAGAAATAGTTGAAGATAGCTGCTGCCTACCTAAGCAAATCAAGGTTGCTCGATCAAAATCCATATTATAAACACTAGTTAACTCATTTACCAACAAAAACTTAACTTATCATGTCAAATGCCTCATATCAAAGCAGAAATTTTAAGCAAATAGCTAGGTTGGCTGCTACCATATCACAATCATTCTAATTTCTTTCTAATTTCTTCATTAGGACTACAATAAAAACACCCTAACTATACACCATTTCTCCTGAAAAAGGCATTTCATAATGTTCAAATAATAGTCAAAAATCAGAATTTTTCCCAACTTCCCAGTCGTGTGAATAGTGTTTTCAGGAACCTAGCATTCTCATTCATGATTTCTAACAACCCTTCCTCAAATGAAGCATTGAATAAGCTAATAATGAAGGAAAGGGTATCATATAGAGCTCACCCAAGGTTCTTGAATGCGACTTTACCTACTACGCGCTGTGATCGCAGTTTCTTGTTTCACTGCCCGCCAGCCGGAACGGGGAAGAACGAGAGTTGAAAGAGAGGAGATTCGAATCTTCGTTCCTCGACAATACTTGATCGACGCCGCCGGAAAATCAGGCAGGAGGAGGCCTCGACCGCGATCTTCCCGATCGAAGATGTCGCGGCTCTCCTGCACCTCCTGCGTATGCCAGAGACGAAAGAGAGAAGGGATGGGAAGCCGGGATCTGCTGCGACGTGGAGGCGATGGCAAGGAGGCGCGGCGTTGGTCTTCGGTTGTCGGAAGAAGAGGAGGAGGAGGAGGAGAAGGTCGCGCGCTGGTGCTGGCGCAAGGAAGAAGAAGGGAAAGAAAAAAAAGAAAAAGAAAAAGAAACGAAGAAAAAAAAAAGAAAAGAAAGAAAAATCTTGGGCTTCTAGACCATTCCGGTTCGATTCGAACCGATTTGGTCTAATTTAATGATTCGGCTCGATTTCGGCTCGATTTTTTTTTACTCGTTCTGCAGGTTTTTCACTATTTACGGCCCATTTACCGTCGAAAAATTCAAATTTTGATTAATAAAAATTCAAAATGTGGTCTAATTTAATGATTCGGCTCGATTTTTTTTTACTCGGTTTGCAGGGTTTTTCACTATTTACGGCCCATACCGTCGAAAATTCAAATTTTGATTTAATAAAAATTCAAATGTTTCGAAAATAAAAATTCAGGGTGTTTCACTGAACATCTACAAACTAGCTATCTGTGATATGGATAAGCTATCAGCTGCAAAAATCAAGTGAACCGGATGTCCTCTAATGGGGCATTTGGTTCAGCTCATAGCTAAATCGCATATGATAATTATGTTGTAGCTGTTTAATAAATTTTTTAATTAGCAGCTTTTTGATATCAACTATTACTTTATTTGTAGTTGTAATATGTTTAGATTTTATTAACTTTATAAAACTCATTATTAATATAATTAATTTTTTTAAAAATATTTATTATGATAATTTTATTTGTAGTTATTTTAAATAATAAGTTTTTATTAAATATTATTTTAAAAAAGTATTTTTTTACTTATATAGTATATTAAAATAAAAATCAATACATTCCTCTCAACAATAAAAGAAAATATTTCACACTATGAAATAACTATACTCTTAATAGTCATTTTATATTTTAAATATAATTACTATAAAAATTTTACAAAATATAATACTAACATTCATCAATTAATCGTTACTACTAGCCATCAATTACAAGCAACCTCTATAAATTTATATGAACCACCGAACCAAATGAATCTTAAATAAATTAAAAATAATTAATATTTAATTCGTACGAGATACTTCTGGTCATTCGCTTAGAAAAAATAATAATAATAGTATTTTAAAAAAATTTTATTAACGAATTTGATATATGAAAGTGAAGGTCTGATTACATACTGATCAATTTTCATTTTCTAATCGAGAATTGAATCAAACCAATTCATTTTTATCAAATTTAAATAATTATTTTAAAAATTAGTAGCCGATGAATTTGGATATAAAACTGTTTGGTTATCTATTTTTAATTCGATTAATTTATTTTTAAGTTCAAAATAGTTAATTTATTATGAAACAATTGAATCAAATCAAAATAATCCAGTTTGGATCCATTATTGTATCAATTTCTTTCGAATTTAGTTACTATAAAAGCATGTTCAAATATTCATAATCGGACCAATTCGATTTGATTAACTGAATCTGGGACCCGCTACAGCTCAAGTCTCATTTTCTTTTTTATAACACAGATACATCTTCCACGTGTCATCCCGACTCTTTCTAGAAAACCCGCACCTTACTCGTGTCACCGATACAAAAGTCATAACATGAATTGCGTTATATGTTTATTTATCCTTTATATTACTTTTGTTTGTTCAGTTACCTTGACTTTTTTGTTCAACCCAAAAGCTCAAAGCCAAATTCTATTTTATCTCCGTCTGCCGACCTTTTTATTTATTTTTTGAATCTCCGTCGACCTCATCGGCGAATCTCCGATCAGGTAAACTCTCACCGTTAGTGAAATCCTAGCACCCAATCGAATTGTGTGTGTGTGTGTGTGTGTGTGTATAGCATAATTTAGATTTTAGTGACTCGATTTTTGTGCATCTAGGGTTTTCTCTATGCGAATCGGTTGCTCCTGAATTTCGGAGTCTTACAGGTTACTTTGCGGATACTACTGTAATGATTTTGAAATTTAGGGCTTTGCATTCATCAGTGAATTAGATTGGATTGGTGTGACTAATCAAGCCGCCTGTGTTGTTGAATTTTTTGATTATTTTTACTGGTAATTTCTTTTTGGTTATTGGTTATTAATTATTTTTCGTGTTTATTTGATCTGAAGCTGGGGAAGGCTGACTGCATGAAGTTTTTGCTACTTTTTTGATTGCATGATTTTGAAGCATGTTGTGGGATGATTTTTCTTTTGAAGATAGTTGAAGATGATATATCAGTTCTATTACACCTGTTTTTTTTTTTTTTAATAACTTTTAGAGTCAAATCGATTGTGATTCATTAAATTGAACCATTTTAGGCTTGAAGTGGGGATTGAAACTGTTACTCATTAGTGGTTGTCGTTATTAGCAAAATCCTCCTCTCTAGCAGAGTAGCAGTATGAATCCTTTGCGTGGCTTAAAGTTTTAACCTTTATGCTTTATATACCATTAGTGAGATCTTTATCACGCTTTCTCTTAATCTTTATCATGCTTTCTCTCAAGTGGGGAAAAACTTGTCCTGTTTGTTTAGACTTTGGAGGATTTATTTGGAACTATTACTCATTAGCAGTTGTTATTATTAGCAAAATCCTCCTCTCTAACAGTATAAATCCTTTTGATGGATTGAAGTTTAATCTTTATGCTTGATATACTATTAGCGAGATCTTGTTCGTGATCTGTCTTGATCATTGATGTGACTACCAGTTGAAATAATTTTATATTTGAAAATAACTGTTAACACTCTGATTTGCTTTTTATGTTCAATTAATGGTGCAGGAATATATTAACATTGTGCATGATTATCTATGCATTACGATGGATATTTTGATTGGATTTTAGTTATGATTATTTAAGCTTATGGGTGAGTTGGGAGCATGTTAGATTATGCCTGGGTGATTTATGGGTATGATGCCTGGACAGTTCATTCATATTGAGTAGTTATATAGAAACGGAATGAATTGCAACTATTATTTGTAAGATTTATTTTTGTGTTATTCATTTGCATGGATCTTAGTGCAGTGATGAAACATTGAGATGCCAAATCTAATTACGAGGGTGTGAAGTCTTGAAATCAGCCACTTCATGCAAAATGCTGAAGATTAGGACTGTATCAAGAACACCCTGCCAGAAGCCTGCTTATATGGAACCTGAACCAAGCGATGGCTTTCTATTTTGTATAAATATGTATAGGACGGTTATTTATTATCTTCTAAATGTCTAATTGTCTATGCTTTTCTTTTCCCATTATTATCTTATAAATAGTTTCCTTTTCCTTACCTGGAGATTTCATCAACGTGTTTTGAGAACCAATTAACTAGAAATCAGTAAAAATTGTGACGGTAAAGGGTTTTTTGTGGCGTATTTTCCCTAGTAATTACATCAAAAATCAATTTAAGGATCTTTAGCTCCTGTATACAATCTTTTTTCTCAATTTGATTTCCAAACTTGTGTTCAAAATTTTCTCAATTAGATCCATTCTCTATAGTTGTCTTTGTAGTTAAATTTTTACAAATGGAAGGAACGAGGAGATACGTAAAGCAAGCTAGACAATCTTAAAGCTGAATGAAATTTTATATGAAACGTGGTTAATCCGAGACAGGTTTTTCGAATTTTACTTTACAGGTGGCTATTTCGTCGCTCAATAAAGTGGGTAAAAAGATGGTTTATTGAAGTATAGAAAACTGATTATTTTGAGTATTGATCCTTAAAAGAAAGAAAAATGTCTTCACTGTCATGAAAGCAGATGCACTTGCAGGGTGGCAGCTTTTTTGTTTTATGATTTCTTGAGATACTGTAATAATAGTAGAACAAATACTTTCACCGGAAAAGTTTTAAGCGTAGAATGGATTTATGACAAATATAAGAAAGTCTATATGATAAAAATTGTGCGGTCTGCTGACGCTGGTTCTATTGCAACACGTTTGATATTAGAAAATGATTGCAAGTGAGAAATGCCAGTCGATAAATTCTGGGTGAAATTTGGATGTTGTAAAGTTCACTGTTAAAACTGGGTTAATAAATGAATCTGAATAGTGATTATTAAAAAGGTGTCCGAGGCCCATTTTTGTTGTATTGTATGACGCCTGACGCCATGTTCTGAAGACACAAGACTAGCAAACCTTTTTTTTTATTGGGAGGGGAATATTGCATCTTGGTATAGTATAAAACGGTGCCTCCCAACTTTTATCAACCTTTGCTTTATGCTCTACCAACTGATGAAACTGTGATTTTGCTGGCAAGAGTTGTATTAGATTTGATTGTTGGCCTTTGTGGTCTTTCTTTTTCTTTTTTTTTTTTTTTCTTTTTTTTTTTTTTTATGTCTTACCAACTGATGAAACTGTGATTTTTGCTGGCAAGAGTTGTATTAGATTTGCATTGTTGCCCTTGTGGTCTTTCTTTTCTTTTTTTTTTTTTTTTTCTTTTTTTTTTTTTTTTCTTTTTTTTTTTTTTCCATAATCTTTCAGAAAGAAGGCATTTATTTATGTATGCATTTGTTATTTCTGCTCTTTCCAGACATACATCGTTGATTGTTATCATACTAATAATTGGTGATTTATATTGCAGCCGTTAGGAGCTACATCGTTGTTGTTATTCTAGAATGTCCAACAAACTCATGTCACAACAGATGTCAATGCCAAATATGCAGATGGGAATGATGGGGCCAGGTTCCACTTGTGCACTATCGCAGCAGATATCAGTACCAAACAGCCAAGCACAGTCATTGAGTAGTATGCCTAACAGCCCTAATTTGCAGAAACTCTCAGTATCAAACATGCAAATGGGACAGATGAATCCACAGGCATACAATCTGATGCCAGAGCAGGTCTCATTACCTAGCAAGCAGCTGGGAGACACGGTAGCCATGTTGAACAATGCAGGATCCTACCATTCATCAATGTTGCATAAGCGAAAGGCACCAGTTGAATCCACATCCAACAATCCTGCATTGCCGAAGTTATCAATGCCTAACAAGCGGGTTGCGCAAGCGGAACATAGGCCATGGCTGCAGCAAATATCTACACCAAACAAATTACAGTCCATTTCCAACACTTCTGGTTTGCAGCGTTCACAAGCACCGTCTAAGAAATTGGCTTCTGGCAAAGCTGGTCTGCTGCAGTCATCAGTTCAGAAAAATAAAAGTGGACAACCATCTCCCAAAGTTCAAAACGAGCCGACTGAATCTGTGAGGTCCAAATTAAAGGAGTCATTAGCAGCTGCACTAGCTTTGGTTTCACAGCAGCAGGATAGACCTTCAAACGATGGTAAGAACTCTCAAAGTGAAACTGCTAGTACTGCAGGATCAGTTGAGAAAAATCCTCAATCTCCTGGATATGCTCCTGGCACTTTGAATTTTGTCAACCGGGTTTCTAAGGAGCCTGAGGGATCTATGCCAACAGGGGAGAATTCTTTAGCCCAACAGTGTAATGATGGTCAAAGTATATTGCAAGGGATTTCTTCTAATAGTCCTGGTGATTCTGCACAGACCCCAAAATATGATGGCCAGGACTATCAGCCAACTATTAATTTTCATGATGAAGACGCTTCATATAGTGATAGCTTTTTTGTCAAAGATGAACTTTTGCAGGGCAATGGACTGTCCTGGGTTCTGGAAGCTGATATGAAGGTGGAAGAAAAAAAGGACATTGAAACTTCAATGAAACAGTCAGAACTGGAGAATGTTAGCATGGAGAATGGGGGACAAGTGGTTCTGTCACCCCAAATCTTGGCATCTCAAATTGAAGCAGAACTCTACAAGCTATTTGGTGGAGTCAACAAGAAGTATAAAGAGAAGGGCAGGTCTCTTTTATTCAATTTAAAGGATCGTAATAATCCTGAACTGAGAGAAAGAGTTACTTCAGGAGAAATCTCCCCTGAGCGACTTTGCTCTATGACCGCAGAGGAGCTTGCATCTAAGGAGCTTTCTCAGTGGCGGATAGCTAAAGCTGAAGAGCTTGCTCAAATGGTTGTATTACCTGATTCAGGTGTTGATATGAGACGATTGGTGAAGAAAACACACAAGGGTGAGTTCGTAGTGGAAGTCGAGACACAAGAACAGGACAGTTTGTCAGCAGAGGTCACTGTTGGGGCTACACTTACTCAGACGCAACGCAAACCAAAGGAGAAGGGAGCCTCTTCCCCTACAAAACCTGATGAGATGAAAGATAAAGGAAAGGATGCTGCTAGTGAAAAGAGTCGTCTGGAGGACCAGAGTGTTCTCATGATAAATTCGAATGAAGGGACTGATTTGATGCAAGGGCTTATGGTGGATGATGAATTGAAAGATGCAGAATTTCTTCCTCCAATTGTCTCCCTCGATGAGTTCCTGGAATCCCTTAATTCAGAGCCACCATTTGAAAATTTGCCAGCAGACACTGAAAAAGCAACACCAATTTCTGATAAGGATGATTCACAAATCGGTGCAGAATCAGAGTCTCCTGATTCAACTCAGAAAGATTCTGATGATACTACCTCTTCTAAAGCTGATGCTATGGATGTCAGAAATGAAAAGTCAGATGCTGACAAGGAATCTGATGTTACGGATGTCACAGATGCACATTCAGATGCTGACAAGAAATCTACCAAAAATAATGTAAAATCAGAAGCAGCACTTCCTGTTGGCATACCAAAGGGTGAAGAAGTGTGGGAAGGCTTGATTCAGCTAAATATGTCAACTGTGGCCTCAGTTATTGGCATTTTTAAAAGGTAAGTGCCACATACAACAAAATCATGGTAATGTTGTTCCAAGCTGCTAACTCTTCTCATCTTCTTGGTGTTCTATTTTATTTTGGAACCAGAGAAATAGGATGAAAGTGTTTGTTGTGTCCTTTTAAGTTGGAATCTATAAATATATAAGAAGGGATTTGAACACAATATTATTAGAGAAACCATCAAGAAAAAGATACATAGCAAGAAAGTAAAGGAAATCCGACTTTTATCCATTTTTTGTTAAAAATGAATATCGAGTATAGTCAATTTGTAAATGGCGGACTTTGGTTTAGTTATATTGAATTTCATAAAATTGGATTTATAGGAGTAGAATGAACTTTTTCATTCATATGAAACATGAAAAAATGAAATTTCAAATGAGATCCTAAAGTTGGAAATCATTTATATCAAAGAAACCTCATTTCATTTTGATTTTTGAAGCAAATATTGAATTGTATCATGTGCATCAGCTGAAAGTGGCACTGGCTTGAAATTCTTATTTTAGTTTGTTAGATGCAGCTAATCTGTCCATCTGATATTCTTCTCTGATTTTGCAGTGGTGAAAAAGCATCTGCGAAAGACTGGCCTGGTTGTATTGAGATAAAGGGGAGAGTTCGGCTAGATGCATTTGAGAAGTTTCTGCAGGAGCTTCCAATGTCTCGAAGTCGTGCTGTCATGGTATCTCAAGTTTCTTTTAATTGTACTAAATTCTGTTTATGTTACTATTCTCTGCAAAAGAGGGATAATATTCTGTATTATCCCAGTTTGCGATCTCTGTGGTGTCTGTGTAAGGTGTTCTCAACTATGGTGAATGACGTTAATATGAGAGTAATCAGAGTTTGTACCAACGCTTTGCAAGAGAAAAGTGTTTTGTTTGGAGAAATTATTTCTGGTTTAAGTTCGTGGCAACTTTGCCATAAAAATCATAAATCTGTATTTTTTTGGTTACCAAAAAGAAAAGGTAAAAAATCACAGTTTAAAAGAAAAGATACGCACTTTACCATCACTGGCCGATTCCAGTTACATATTTAGTGGATGAGGATGGAAAAGAACATATTTCTCCTGTTATCTGCAGCGGAATTTATATAATGACTCCGTGAAAATTGTATCTTAAATTGCCAATCAGCTCAAACATGAGCAAGAAAGAGAGGTTCCTTTTTAAAATGGAAAAGGGAGAAACCAAGATAATCGAGAGACCTTTTTCTTTTTCTTTTTTTTTTTTCTTTCTTGAAAATAAACAATTATCTAAAATTGCTAACGCATGATCAGATAGAGAACTAGAGAATTAATTGCCCCATATCTTGTATGCCGGAACCAGGACTAATTAGTCTCATAAATGCTTCTGTACTTGTATCATTATTTTCCTCCTAACGAAATCATACTACTTATTCCTTTTGCAGGCTGTGCATTTTGCTTGCAAGGAGGGGTCTACAGGAAGTGAGCGTGCAAGTCTAAGTGAGGTAAAGCAAAGCTTCACGATTCACTTATTTTTGTGACTGTCATTTTCTTTATCACTGGTGGTAACTGAAATGCCAATTGCAGGTTGCTGATTCCTACATTGCAGACCAGAGAGTGGGTTTTGCGGAGCCTGTTCGTGGAATGGAACTCTACTTCTGCCCACCTCATTTCAAGACTAATGAAATGCTGGGCAGAGTCCTTCCAATGGACAAAATTGATGCCATTAATGCTATCGATAATGGTCTAGTTGGTGTTATTGTATGGAGAAAACCTCAAATAACATCTACAATGTCACATCCTAGACACAATTCAAAAAAGCATCACTTCACTTCTAGGACTAGACAACAAGATAAGAATGTTAATCACAACGTTGATGTTTCTGTTACGGCTAAAGACCTGTTAGCCCATGTCGGACCTACTCCATTTACTAAGCCTCAGCTGGATAATGGCGATGACGATGATGTGCCTCCTGGGTTTGGCCCTCCGGTTGCTCGGGATGAGGACGACTTGCCTGAGTTTAACTTTTCAACTCCTTTTAATTCACGGACACAAACACAGTCACGTCCTGTAGATCAAATGAGGCAGCTTGTTCAACGATATGGACAAGCTGCAAGTAATGCGAACTGGCAGGATAATAATAGAGATGTTAGGGTTTCAATGCAGCCATGGAATGATGATGATGATGATGATATGCCAGAATGGCGTCCAGAAGATAACAACAAACCACAACTTTTATCACAGCCAGTGCATCAGCAAAATGTACATCAGCAACCAATTTTGGTGCAACAAACACCAGCTATGCCTTTGCACCCACAGATGAACATTATACATACTTCACAAAATGTGGCTTGGATGGGTCCTAGTCGTGGCCCCTATGGCCCTTCTCCTCATCCTGCTTATCAGTATAACTATAGAGCACCAGGACTCGAAGCTGCGCACCAAGGCATAGCTTGGCGTAGAGATGCTCCTTCAAGTAGAGGGTTCTGAAATATCTTGTACTATAATTTTATAAATGGTAGTTTCATGTATGTATTTTTCTTTTTATGCATCATTTGGGGAATTCAGTTCTTTGCTTGGTTTTTGGTTCTTTTATGGTAGTTACTTGCTAAACCTAGTGTCGCAAATGGTTGATCGTCAAATAAGTGAAAAATAACAACTAGAATCATTCAATAAAGGAATGAAAACTGAACGTCAATAACCTCTTATGTCCAATTCAAATTAAAAAAAAGAATAATAATTACATGAATTCGCCAAGAATACCTCACAAGGTATACTTGTTGAATTGCTACATTTAATCTAGTAGGAGATGCACAAAATTACCACTCCCCCATTTTTTAATCTGCTGACTCCTCCCAAAGTAAAAAATACCTGGGTCTATAAAATTTTAATGAACATAAAAGAGACAGCTTTAGCTTTCAAAGTCTAGCTTAACCTAGATGCTAATATATATATTAGCAGTAAAGTCAACCTTCAACCTCCTAATGCAAGCTTAAGTCCTGTTCGTTGCTCAGGTGTCAATTTTGTCGGGAACTTTACCTCAAATTTTATCCTTAAATCGCCTCTATTGCCGGGTTCCTTGGCTATTGGCATACCTTCCCTAGTGATGACAAGCTCATAACCAGGGCTAACTATATCATGTACAGGAATGGATAGGTTTCGACCATCAAGTGTAGTTAAATTTACAGTAGTCCCCCCTAGTGCTTCTGCGAGTGATATCCTTTGGTTTATAATGAGGTCGTTGCCATCTCTCTTGTAAGTATTGTGGGGCTTTTCATCGATGACGAACATAAGGTCTGCTGGAAGCTGATTTATCTGTTCATTTCCTTTATCTGGGAATGTTATCTTTGTTCCTTTCTTCCATCCTGGCTTCACATCAATGGTTAATATCTCCGTTTCTTGCACTGGCCGCCTGTTTATTTGCATTCATATAGAATATTAAGTCTCAAAATGGGGATATGTCGAGTGTCATATTACAAGCAAGTAAAGCTAATGTGTGTGTGCCGTGATGTTCATGAATGGTTCAGAAGATTACAAAGACTTGGGTGTGAGTCTTAGGATCATTAGGCATACGAGAGAAAAAAAGTACAATTGTTGAATAATTCAGCATAAAACAAGAAGTTAAGTAGCTATTAGCTGATGTTCTTGTGCCAAATAGCGTAAAATGCTTTCATAAGCAGAATGCAACATCAGCAACATGTGTGAGGACAATGTAGATGTCGCAGAGCGCATAATTCATGGATTGGGAAGTTAGGAATCTATGGAGAAATACATACGGAACTAGCTGATCTATTGTTTATCATGACAAATCCATTAAAAGAAATATCACGTTACAGACATAATGGTGAAATGAAATATTATGTTAACAACCATATAGAGATGCCAGTTACGTAAAACAATGAGCAAAAGAGGTACTATATCAAGGTTTTTGGCAAAAGCAAGGCTCCTAACCAACTTATTCAGGATCATCCATATCATCTTAAGAGTATCTACATCCATCATTCCATCTACCACCACTATATCAGGAAAAGAAAAGGGAAGGAGGAAGCACAGTTATACACGTACCCATGACTGTCCACTACAGTTCGAGAAATCTTCATTTTTCTTGTTGATCCAGAATACAGTTCCTCAAGACTGCAAGGCAATTTACTCTCGACTGGTGGTGGTTTCCTTGGCATAGTCCCTTCGCTGTATGTCCGAAAAAGGTTTTCGCCCCCACTGAATCCTCCAAACATTCCTCCATCTGAATGGAACCTCATGGACCTTCCAGGCCCTGATGATCCAAATCCAAAAGGACTACTCCCAAAAAATTCTGCGAATATATCTTCTGCATTTCTTGGATTGAAACCATTAGACCCACCACTACCACCATTTCCAAATGGGAATCCACCACTTCCAGGGGTTGGCATGTCTTTCAATCCTTCTTCACCATATTGGTCATAAATTGCTCTCTTTTGTGGGTCACTTAAGACCTGAATTTAAAATCCATCAGTACATCAGGCGATATAACAAGCGAAAGTTCACATTACAAAGAAACATTGAATAATCATCAAAGTTCACATTAACATTGCTTTTAACCTTCTTTTGGTCACCAATGACATGTAGGAAAACAGAACATATCTTTTTTATGTTAGAATTTCAGAAAAATGTAATTTTCAGTTTTTCATATTTATTTTGTTGTGAGTTCATTTTCCCAGGAACTACGTTGAAGAACATGACAACAGATATCATCTTTCTATAAACCCAAAGTACAAACTTATATAGATATAATTTCCCTCAATTTCTCAGCAACCAAACAGGTGAATGAAACATTACATTCATATTCCAGATAAACAAAGAAAAAGATGGAAAAAAAAAAAAGAAAAAGCTGGGTTGAGAAACCTGAAATAGGGAAAAAGAAAAACATGCCTCATAAGCCTCAGAGATTTGCTTGAATTTGGCTTCAGCTTCCTTCTTGTCGTTGGGATTCTTGTCAGGATGCCATCTCATTGCTAATTTCCTATATGACTTCTTTAGATCATCATCTGTGGCATTTTTGTCCACCTTCAATATATTATAATAATCAACCCCCATCCTTTTTCTCTCTTTATTTTTCAATAGTCAAGAACCCAAATCTATCCAAACCTATTAGATCCAAATGCTGCACATTAATCAAATTACCACTATTTTCTCGAAAACCCAGATAATAAAAGATTATTCCTTTAATAATCTACCGATCTAAATCATCAAAATAAGATCTCTATACAAACTTTCTTTCTGTCTCTCTCAGACAATAAAACAAACAGAAAAGGAAAAAAAAAAAAAGGCAAGATCTTTCTGTCAATTATATTGATATTCAAAATGTATAGGAATTGAAAAAAGGATTTCAAAAAGAAAAAAACAAGGGGAAAAGCAGAACTAAGATGGGAAATCAAATTGATCCGGTTTGGAAGGGGTCATTATTCTACAAAATTTGTCTAAAAAGTTTCTTTGCCGGTACAAAGAAACGAAATCAATTGTGTCGTGTAAGAAAGGGTCTTCTGTTAGATTTATATTATTAATATTATTATTATATTATGTTATTATTATTATTATTATTATTAGTTTGTATTAAGTACATATCAGATGGTAATTTGTGATATTAATAACCGAAAATAACGGAAGACGGAGTGTTTGGTCTAAAAAAAGTTTGGTCATTTCTTTCTGTTGTTCTGTTTTCAAAATTCCAACAATTGTATGGTAGAAGACGAATGTCATTGTCATGTAATTTTCAATCTTTAAATGGACAATAATATTAATATCCCACTAATTTTGTTTTATTTTCATTTCACTGTAAAAAAACTAAAGCGATTATAAATTTATCGGACAAAATTAATTATTTTAGTAGCTATTAATTATTTTACATTTTATAATCGCTCCATCAAACTATAAAAACTATTATAAACGCTACGTATAAGTTATATAAATAATAAAGATGGTGTTTCGATCTTAGATAAAACACTAAGTTGCTGCTAAACATGATCTAAATCATTGGATTAAATAGCATTTTCTTTCTTTCTATTTATATATTAATTAAGCCTTTTATGTGATGATCAAAAGGCGGTCGGGTGTCTTTGTAAGGTTTTGACCATTTCTTTTAAAACCGTCTATTTGCTCGTCGTGAAAAGGTCCTCAGTACGCCGTTCTCAAACAAAATAAAAAGGAAAAAAAAAAAAAAAGATTATAGCTATGTCTTAGAATTAATAGTTTTAGTGTATCTTCAATAAGATACTATGTCTTGATAATAGTTTAGTGTATCTTCAATAAGATATATATTATATATATATATATATAATATATAATATATATATATATATATTATATATAATTTGAGAGGAAAAAATTTTTAAATGTTTAAAGTTGATATTAAAATTGATAAATCTTTTAAACTCTGATGTCCATTGTATATATAATTTGAGAGATTAAAATGTTTAAGTTGATATTAAATTGATAATCTTTATCTGATGTCCATTGTACATAGAAAATTTTAAATAAGCAAACATTCATTTAGCTAGTTCAGCATAATATTATAGACTCTCTCTTGATAAAAGCAGATGATTGCTATTTGCCAAAACTTGAACTTCAAATAAATTTAAGTGTAAATAAATATTTAATTTATATTTGCGACCAAAAGTTAAAATTTTTATTAATAAACTTATCTGACAGTTCCATAAAATTTTCGAAAGGTAGTCCTACAGTGTCCAAAAAGCATCCCTAAAATAACATTATGAATCCTCGTCCAGGAGATTTACAATTACTAACTATCAAGTCAAAAAACAAGTAACTATCTGAATATCATTCTATACGCTGGATGCATCTGACTTTGCTCCAACCATGGACTTAGCCTACCACAACAACAAATACCAATAGCTTCAGCCAACTCCAAAGAAAATGAACCATGAACCGTGTGAGCACGAGCTGCTATCGCAGTAGCTCGACAGTTTCTCCCCAGCATGCCTAACCGAAGGAGCTTTCATCCAGGTTGGTAATAGCATCAACATTAGCCTCTAACCACTCCAGATATGGTTAAACCTCCAACAAGCTCTCCGAATCCACACTGCCAGTGTTGTTCACGTCCTTGATCTGAGCTTGCTTCCAATCTTGAAGAAAATTCCATGCCTAAAAAGATAATTAACTTATTTTTTAGCATGCAATTCAACTTTTGTTGCCCAATCTTCTCACTCAAGGTGAGCCTTTAAATTATGGGAGTAATTTAGATATACAAAAGAAAACAAAACAAAATCTCAGCTGTAATTAAGAACGCAAATTCAATTGTGATAATCAAAACTAATTAAGGACAAATATAAAGGCTTAATTAATGTGGTTATATATGCATATAAAAGACAAAACTGTAATTTAATCACCTGCTGCAAGCCTAGAGGCCAGAGCTGTGAATCAAAATATTCAGGACATATGATCCTTCTCTCCAGCTACATTGTGATTTCATTGTGCATGACTCACCAGAACAGAAATTTAATTAACAACGAATTAATTTGAAACTCCAAATATGTATTACTGAAATTAATTATTACAGGCAAATCTAATAGCAAAACTTGGCACCTTGTTTTTCTTGATGGACATCATCAAGACGCAAAAGGAGGTAAAATCCTAACGCCTTTAGAAACCATCAGAACATAAATGATAAATGTGAAGCCAAGTTGCTTATAATTATGCATTGTACATAACAAGGGAAAGACTGACTTAGATTGGGTGTATGACCATCCATACATCAAACCAATTACAAATAATGTTTTAATTTAAACGAGGGTATTTTTTATCATACAATGGGAAGAAAAGGATAAAACAGTAATATTTTCCCCTTTTTCCATTGCTTGGTGCAACCATACAATGGGTGTAGGCAAGTCTTATCCACAAAACAAATATGTCCTTAAGCACAGTGACCTAGAAGGGAGATAAAGGAACCAAAGTTTGTGCAAAGCCTGTCATAACTGATTTATCTAAACAAGTGTATCCTCTGTTTCTCTTTTCATGAACAGTAAGAAATGGTGATTTTCCTATATTAAGGCATGACATTTGTTAATATTATAGAAGCAGCAAAACTGTCTAATTCATCATAAATTTCGCCAAACTTGACAGTGCCTCACCTACTACACAATTCCATGAAGAGGCTTAGGTTATGTTGAATTAGATTATGGCACTTGAGACCCCTCTCTTAACAACTTTCAAGAAATTTCCAATTAGCAGTTAGACAATCTTGCATCAAATATAAAAATTCTTTTCCTTACCAGAAATTATGAAGTAAGATAACTCACCATAATAGGCTTATTGAAAAATACAGTTAATCGTTTCATGATCAAAATATTTGTTACAGAAATATGTGTAGCTTCTAATTGTATATTAAATTTTTAATCTCTCTTTAAATTACCTTCCACCTACTAATTAAGTCAAACCAATTCATGATTTTGAACTGAAAGTGTTTGAGGATTTGGAATTCTTGATGATTTGTTTGATGTACAAGACCCTTTAAATAGGGAGAATACAAACAGAATATGGAAAGGAATTACAGAGATTAATTACAGGAAATTAATTGTAATCTGAACAGAAATAATGGAAAGGAATTACAGAGTATTAATTAAAGGACAATTATTGTAATCTGTTCCTAATCAGAGGAATGATCTGTGGAGATATTTCATCGCTAAGACTCCCCGCGAGTTTGAGCGGGCGGAGGACAGACCGCTCAAGCTGGATCGAAATGACTGGAACAGACTGTCCGAGGATAGGCCGATGTCAGGCATATTGGAAAGCAGATGGGACATGTGAGACCCGAATGTGGCCTGATTCGCCCGAATGTGGCCTATTCGAACTTTCTCCCGTACAAAGTGTATGTCGATCTCAATGTGTTTTGTGCGTTGATGCTGGACAGGATTGTCAGACATATACACTGCTGAAACATTGTCACAGTATACGACGGAGGCCTGCTGAAGTGGGAGGTGTAATTCCAGAAGTAAATTGCGAAGCCAGGTGGTCTCTGCAACAACATTGGCTACTCCTCTATATTCTGCCTCTGCACTAGACCGTGAGATAGTAGGCTGCCGTTTTGAAGACCATGAAATCAAATTATCACCAAGGAAAACACAGTAGCCACTAGTTCTAGTTTGATTCTTCTGGAGTCTGGGCATCCACCACCCAAATCTGCGTCTGCAGGTATGCTGAACAAAGGTATGTGTTATTTTGGTCTTGCCAAATTCTTATACCGTAGTGTCAACTGTGGGCCTTGTAAATATCGGAATTATTCCTTTTTTGAGAAAGGCCATAATGTGTGGATCCCGCGGTTCATGCATGAAGAGGCATATTTGTTGAACAGGCATAAATGATATATCTGGGCTGTGTGAAAGGCGTTGAGATACTGTAATGCGCCAGCAGACGTGGCGGTAATAATGTTGGATCATGGAAGAGAGGTCCATCAAGAAGCACTCAGTTTTGAATGATAGATCGACTGGGGTGGCACACGGTTTGCAAGAAGGACATTGAAGCTCTGGAGATGATATTCCTTTGTTGTATTGAGAGACTGATCCAAAAATAACCCACCAGATGTTCCGTGTCAGCTTTGGATTCCAGGATAATTTGATGCACCGCCGGCCGCCAAATCTGTCATTGCAAACTCTCGTGAGAGCATGCGGAGTAATTTTCTGGCAATAAACTCATTTAGAAGAGGCAGTGAGCACTATATCATCACATACAGAAGTAAATTTAAGCCCAGCCTGGATTTTCCCTTTGGGAGAAAATGAATAGGGAATTGTCACACACACTGCTTGCTAGCGAAAAACCATGAGACAGCAGATGGGTTTGCCAAATCTGGTGTACGCAATGCCCGGTGGAGCCTGTTTGAGCCCCATAAAGGGATTTTTTCAATCTGCACACAAAATGAGGGTATCTTCTATCTGTGAAACCCGGGGGTTGATGCATAAAAACAAGTTTTCATTTAAATGCGCATTTAAAAAAACGCTGTTTTTGACATCCCAACTGGTGTATTTTTGGCCAAGAAACGGGAAACTGGCAGATGGATAACACAAGTCCCGTAAATAGTAGCGGGTTTCAGCTACGGACTAAAAAGTAAATCGTCAAAGTCCAATGCCCAACCATTTTGAGATTTGCCATTTACGCACCAAACGTGCTTTATACCTTTGAAGTGACCCATTTACCACCAAACGTGCTTTGTACCTTTGAAGTGACCCATCTGATTTAAATTTGTGACGAAAAAGCCACATACACCGAATGACCGGTCGGTCAAGAGGGCGAGGCACGAGTTCCCATGGATTATTTTCCTACAAAGCATGAAACTCAGCCTGCATAGCATTTAACCAATGAGGGTCAGAAAAAGCTTTTGCATAAGAGGTGGGTATTGGTGAAATTGAGGTGGTCATAAGGGCATGGCGAGCTTTGGAGCGAGTGGTCATTGGATGGGTATTCTGTGCGGGTTTTGATACAGCGGTGGTCTGAGTGTTGGGATTTTGTGAGATAGGTGCAGCAGTGTGTTGGGGTGTCGTAGCATTGGCCACTGGGTTAAGGGGCTGTTGTTTATGGTGGCGGGTGTATATTATGGGGTAAGGAGGGATTGGGCGTTTTTGGGTTTGGGTGGTGTTTGGTGTTGGGTGAGGTTGTATAAACTTAAATCCTAGTGGTGGTTGTTCATCAAGAAATGTGTATATTTTGGGTGGAGTTGGAATGGTGTATGGGAAAGTTTGTTCATCAAAGGTTACATGTCGTGATACGTGGATCTTCCCGGTTGTAGGGTCAAAGCATCGGTATCCCCTAAAATCTAGAGGGTATCCAAGGAAGATGCATCTAACGGATCTTGGGTGTAATTTATGGGGTTGGGTTGCGGAGGTATTGGGATAATTGGGATAACAAGCACACCCGAACACACGTAAGTGATCGTATGTCGGGTGGCGGAGATATAAGGCAAAAGTGGGTGTGAAATAATTGAGACGTTTGGTTGGAAAGATGTTATGGAGATAGGCAGCAGTGTGAAGTGCTTCGACCCAAAACATAGGTGGTAATTCAGCATGGATGAGGAATGAGCGGATGATGTCGTTGAGACGACGAATCATGCGTTCAGCCCGACCATTTTGGGAAGATGTTTGGGGGCATGAAAAACGGAATAACAGACCATGTTGTTGGGCAAAAATTTTGAAGTTATGGTTGTCAAATTCTCCCCCCAAGCTCCCCCCAAGTCACATTGAAAAGTTTTGATATTGCGGTTGAATTGGGTGGCTATGAGTTTATGGAATTTAGTAAAGGTGGTGAAAGTTTCAGATTTGAACTTGAGAGGGTATACCCACACATAATTGGAAAAATATTTATCAATTAGCACCATGTAGTATTTATATCCAGATTTGGTTGGAATAGGGGAGGTCCACAAGTCACAGTGATTATATCAAATGGTGAAAAAGTAAAGGAATTTGACTCAAAAAAAGGTTAATCGTTTGCTATTAGATAAATACAAGAATTGCAAAAAAATAAATGCTTGTTCTTATTACAAGGAAAGACCAAAACTGTTTGGTTAAACATCTAAAACTTGTGTGCCAGGGTGACCGAGGCGATCGTGCCAAGGTTAAATTGGAGATGTGGATTGTGAAACAAGCTTGTGTGGTAGGCGTGTGGAGTTGAACAAGGATAGAGATCTCCGGTTACCTATTGTGGCGGGAAAGGAGGAAAGGAGCTGTCCCGTTTTGAGGTCCTTCAAAGAGAAACCAAAAGGGTCAAATTCAACAGAAATATTGTTATCACGTGTAAAACGGCGGACAGATAATTTTTAATGATATGTGGGCTGTAAAGTATGTTTGGGAGGATGTATGTACGGTTAAGGATGGGAAGGTAACCTGTTCCTGAGCCCTCAATTGGTAAATAGTGTCCGTTGCCGACTAAAAGTTTAGTGTTAACAGGAAAAGAGTCAGGGTTGTGAATCATACCTCGGTTGTCGGTGACATGACGTTCTGCCCCTGTATCCATCCATGATCAGATTTGGATCTGTGTAGTTGAGTTGCATCGTGTTATAAGCTTGGCTGAGATCGGAAGGACTTAAAGCATCATATCCAGTATGCGGTGGAGGGGGATATGGTGGTGCTGGGCCGTATGGCTGCTGTTCTGAATAAGCGGCATAATGAGCAGTGGGTGTGTTTTGAATTTGATTTGGTGGCCATGGAGTTTGTGTTGGGTAGGGACAAGGTGGAGTGTTCCACCAAGCCCATTTTGGGTAGGTTTGATTGGCGGATTGATGTGTTATAGCCCAAGGAGTCCCCGTAGAGTTTCCCCTGTAGCCGCGTCCTCTGCCTCTGCCACGTCTGCCTCGACCACGGCCTCTATAATTGTAAGAACTGTTGTTGAGGCTGATTGTTTTCAGGTTGTTGAGTTGTGGCCGGCTGGGTTTGGTTTGTCGCTGGTTGGAGCGACAAGGACAGAAGGTGGTTTGTTGTCGTGCAGCCTGGCGAATGACCTCATCCATTCAAACATTGTTCGATGCAGGTCCCAAGTCTGCGTTTTGTGATGTTAATAAGAGAAGCATATGCGTGAATTCTTGAGAAGGCACGAACCAGTTGTAATGGGGAAAACCAATCGGATTCTGTTAACTGGTTGTCAACATCGTCAGTTGGTTTTGGCGGATGTCTTTCAATTTCTTGCAGTAATCATCAACGGAACTGCAGGCTGCAAGGTGAGATTTAACGAATTTTTGTTTCAAGAGCTGCCGCTTTTGCTTTCTTGTTGCTAAAGGAAGATTTTCTCAAGTTTCAGCCCATGTTTTTCTAGCGTTAGCTTCAGTTCGAGGATGCGGGGTGAGCAGTTCATCAGGACCACGGTACTGTAAATTCCATTTGAGACACCAAGGGGATCTATTTCTTTTTCCAAGCACTGTATGATGGATCTGTAGAGGCTGGGGTGGCGTGTCATCAATAAATGTGATCCAAGAACACGGTATGCAATGAATGAAACTTGAATTAATTTCACCATGATTGTTATGTAACTGTGCTTACCCATTCTAGGGTGTGTTCTTATTTTTTGATTGGATTGTTAGTCACAGAGTAGGCAGGGTTGAATGGAGTGGGTGTTTGTGTCATGGCATCAGCGGGCCAGCAGCTAAAATATGAGAGAGAAAGGAGGAGGGAGATAATTTTTCAGAACGAAGCTCTGATTACCATGAAAGTTGTTTGGGATTTGGAATTCCTTGATGATTTGTATTGATGTATAAGGCCCTTTAAATAGGGAGAATTACAAACAGAATATGGAAAGGGAATTACAGAGATTAATTTACAGGAAATTAATTGTAATCTTGTTCCTAAATCGAGGAATGATCTGTTGGGAGAGATATCATCGGCTAAGATTGAACTAGTATATTTTCTTGATGATTTGTATTGATGTATAAGGCCCTTTAAATAGGGAGAATACAAACAGAATATGGAAAGGAATTACAGAGATTAATTACAGGAAATTAATTGTAATCTGTTCCTAAATCAGAGGAATGATCTGTGGAGATATCATCGGCTAAGATGAACTAGTATATTAAATATATTACAAATCTTGTAACTATTTTTAAATCATGGCACTCAAATAGATTTCATCAGACCTAAAAATAGACTACTGACATTATAACCACATCCAAACAAAGATGAAGAAATGAAAGACATACTGAACATGGGTCCCAATCTCAAAACTCGTTCGAGCTCTTCAACAGAAACTGCTCCTCTTTTTGCTTCCTTCTGCAAATGATGCAATAACTCTTCTCCTCTTGCAGTACCACAAGTCAATGATTTTCAGTCAGCTTGCATAGCATGGGCAAGTAAATACAGAAGGAAAAAAAAAATTGCTTCAAACTTTTCAAATCATAAAATTTCTGTCTATTAATTAAACAGGTTGTTTTTTAATAACAAAGGTTAACTTATTATATTCCTAGTATACTAATTTCAACAAATATTTCAGAATTCTGCCACATCTAATATGATCCACAAATTTTTGACTCTACCAACAATTTAGAAAGATAATAATCAATGATGAAAGTGGAAAAGCAAATCATGGGGTGGGCATAATGGCCCCGAGAACATGCTGAACCCCACAATTGATTTTTAGAGGCACACATTTGATTTGGAATTGCCCCATGCTTTTTACAGATAACCTTTTACTCAATTGCATTGTCTCATCTAGGGATGTAAACAAGCCGAACCGAGCTCGAACTTGCCAAGCTTGAAGCTTGTTTCGATAGAATTTAGCTAGGCTCGAAACTCAACAAGCTTAAAAATTTTAGGCTCGAGTTTGACTCGAAAAATTTTTACGCTCGATGTTCAAATAAGTTTAAAATAAATATTATATGTATATATAAGCTTGATAAGGCTCAACGAGTTTTTCGAGTTGAACATCATTAGGCTCGAGCTCGATTTGAGCCGAACTTTTTCAAACATTTTTCGAGCCGAGCTCAAACAACTCACGAACCGGCTCGACTCATTTACACCCCTAATCTCACCTCTTAACATAATTGTAACTGTTCACACCCATTTATCAAGGAACTTCATACGATTGGACTGGAAGTATCAGACATATACAAAATATGCTTTGAGCATTTTCCATTTTTTGTTGGGTTCTAATGCCCATCATATTTTAAGGTTACATTTTGTAACTTACACTTTGTTTAGACGGGGTGAGGGAAGGGTAATTAATAAAAGGGTGAGAGAGGTTAAAGGAGGGAAAGTGTAAGGAGGATTACAATAATAAAAGTGTCGTGTTTGGGAATAGGTAAATTAATGTAAACCTAAGGAGTGGTAATGTACATTATTTACATTTGGGAAGAAGTGAAGGGAGGTAAGACTTATTTTTAGTTGTGAATTAATTTAAACTTTATCTCTCTCCTTATACCCCAATTTGAGATATAAGAAAAAATTGAGATTTGAAGGAGAAAGAAGGGTAAGACTTACCTTTATTTATCTTTACCACTCTTTGACTCACTGCTTTTCAAACGGGGGTATATACGTTGCTTACCACTCCATACTTTTATTTACCTCTCCTTCACCTCAAGCCAAACAGAGTGTTAATGATCCAATTGAGAAAAAGGTTAAAAAGAACATAATAAAGAAACCATCATTTTTCATAAACTATTAAGAGGTCTTCTCACTTTGCTATGCAAGATACAGACACCAACAAGAAAATCTTTTTGCAACAGATGGAAGAAAGTCAAAAGTACTAAGCATAAGCTCTCTTTTACATCAATAGCAGAATACGGTAGTGCTCTAATCAATTATAAACAAAAGTAAATATGAGAATGGGGCATATAATTAATTAAAATGGAGTATTATACAGCCAGAATCTAAGTGATTGCATAATCTTGAGACCAAGTCTGTCTCATTTTTCAGGGCAGTATCTTTTAACTCAGTTCCCACTTACTGGTTTAAGCATTAGAAACCAAGCCTGAAATTGAATAACACATGCACAAAACAAAACCAAAATAACAAAGTTGGTACTTGATGGGTTGGTCTTTCTCTCTTTTCAATCTGTCAAATCAGCTCGCCACACAATTCAAATAACAAAGAAAGGCATACAAAACATAACAAGCAATTCAAGGTGCACTTACTTTTCATATGTTCCCTTCCAACACTCATCGACCTGATATACTTTTGCACCTCTATCATGTCAAGAGTTTGTGTAATTTGGATCTGATCCCCACTTTCTTTGATGTCTTAAAACTCTGTAAACATAGGGGTGAAAAAATCAATAAGCATGAGCCAGAAGAGAGAAAAAAAAGAAAGTGAGTTAAAAATAAATTCTTCTAAAAGATATCAACTTTATGCATTAAGAGAGCCAAATACAAGATTAGAATTTAAAAATAAATCAATTTATAAAACAGATCTTCTTAACCCAGCAAGCAAAGTACCATCTTCCAGTAGAACGTCTATTCAACCTACAAGTCCCAACAACACAAGTAGAAAGAGGAGCTGTAACACTTAATTCATCATGCCATTTAAAATTCCCACATCTCTCGCGGAACAAAATTTCTTAAAATTAAGAAAGAAATATCAATCAAACTTATATTAGCTAACAAGTAATAAGACTACCAATGATTTATCAAGAATGAAATATCAATTCAGGAGGTTATTTCAGGACTCATTCAATAGCTCATTGCATTCAAGAGAATTTTTGAGAAACTTGTGACTCTTTACAAGTATATAACAAGCTGCAGTTAGATACTATCTTTCTTGGAAGCATTCATCAAACAACCTTAAACTTGGAACAAGAATAAAAACGATTTGAGTCAATTCTTTTTTTTTTTTCCAGAAATATGATATGACCCATATGTTAAAAGGACAAAGGAGGATAATGATTTTATGAACCAATCATTCTAAATCAACATGTATTTGTATTAATGTAGTGCTAGCTGAATTTGTCTTATTCCACGAAAATAATTCTGCAAATAACTAATAGTTTGAGAAAAAATTAGATTCCTGAAACAATATTTTTATCAATTATTAGTTGCATAATTGCATGGGAATCATTTTACAGACCAATAAAACTAAGTTTAAGTTAACATATATATCCGTTGGTTATAATAAGACAATCAATATGTACAATAGAAATTAAATAATTATAAGATAGATCTTTATTCTTTTTCTTGAACATGTGGCAAAAGTAAGGACCAAAAATCAGTGTTACCAGTTGCAACAGCTTTACAGAGGAGTGACAGCCAAAAAAAAAAGCACTTCACCTTAGGCTTGTTTTTGTATACCTGGAGAAAGGCTTGTACCTCTTCTCTTATTCCTCTTACTGTTACCTGGCACATCGTATACAAATCCTTTGAAATTCATATTCATTTAGATGGAATAGAATTAAAAAATAATTAAATAAAACACTTTGACTAGTAGCATAACTAGCTAACTCAAATAGGTTTAACAGGACTATGAGTGTAGAGCCTGTAATGTTATCTACTTTAATATTCGAAGGATGCAATATAAGACATATTCATTGACAGCCACTTTAACCCGACAAACATAAATACTTTTGAGCCATAACAAGCATAATGTTTAAAAAAAAAAAAAAAAGGAATTGTGCAGTGCAGCTGGCGTTTGTGCTAAAGATTCTACTATTAGCCTTTGTGAAGGTTCATTCATATGCGAAAAATGATTCTTTTGAATAAAAGTAACAAACCATTGCTTTACAATAAAAATAGATGCTTGCGAAGTGAATTTTTCATACCTGATTCAGAGTTTGAATCTTCATGGAAACAGCCTTCACCAAAGACAAAACCATACGAGAGTCATATGTAGGGCGTAGCCTAATCCAACATCCAACATTAATTAGCTTTATTATTGCTTCGGCAAACACTTTATCCAACCTTTTGATTGTGCTTGATCTAGAATATCCAGAGTCGCATCATTTAGGTCGCATTCTTCCAGTATCATGATCCTCAACAATAAGACAAATTCCCCTAATCTACCCTTTCCAAGCATTGCCTTCAACATGGCATTATAAATTGCAATATCAGGAGTAAGCCCATGGTCTATCATTTCATCCCTCAGCTTGAGTGCATCTGCTATCTTTCCTTCCCTACAACAGCCATTAATTAAGGATCTATATGTAAAACCATCTGGTTTTAGTCCTCGGTTATACATGTCCCTAAGCAATTGACTCACCAGAAAATTATCATGTACTCTAATTGCAGCATTGATTAGAATATTATAGGAGATTGTACTAGGAAGAAATCCACAGTTTGTAAAATTTTTAAAAACTCGAAGTGCAGTTCCTATTAATCCCTTCTTGCAAAGTTTATCTAATACCATGTTGAAAGTGATAACAGCCATGCCATGGCCACTATGCATTATGGTTTCCAGCAACTTTAAACACACTGCAATTTTCCCAACTCTGCAGAAATACTGGATCAGACAAGTAAAACTGACAAAATCAAGCTTAATACCTCCATATTCCATTCGATACAAGATCTTCTGTATCATCACAGAGTTCCGATTTTTGCAAGCCATGCATAAAATTGTATTGAAAGAAACTACATCAGGCCCATATGCTTCCCACTCAATATTGTCCAAGAGTTCCAAAGCCTCCTCAACACCATTTTCCCTACAAAAACCATCCAGAATTGTGTTATATGACACATTGGTTGGCATAAAACCTTCTTCTATCATGCTGTTCAACATAGTCAATGCCTCTCTTAATCTGTTCTGACGACATAAGCAATGAAGATATATATTATAAACAGCTATATCCATATTACAGCCTTTAGAAATTGCATCGAGCAACAATTCATAAGCATATCCAACTTTGCCAATCTTTAATAGGCCTCCAGAAAAGGCAGCATATGTGTATGAGTCAGGAGAAAATCCCTTTTGATCTATGATCTCAATCAGCTTGAAAATGTCAAATAATCTACCTTGATGACAAAGTTCGCGAAGAATTATATTGTATGTCATCAAGTCAGGATCACATCCTTCTCTTTCCATCTCACCCAAAATTCTCAATGCCTCATCAATGCAACCATTATCACAGAGAAACTTGATAACCACAGTGTACGTTATGACATTGGGTTTACAGCCATTCTCTTTCATTTCATAAAAACACTGCAACGCATCTTCCTGAAAACCTTCTCTATGAAACCCAAAAACCAAAGCTGTATACGAACAAACATTGTACACAATCCCTCTCTTCTTCATTGAATAAAACAAATTTAAAGCAGTATAACTCTGATTAGACTTACATAACGCCCACAAGATTGGATTAAGAGTATGTACACCAAAAAAATGACCCTCATTAAAAAGAACAGAAAATACTGAGTAAGCTTCACGTATCATACCAGCTTTACTTAGTATACACATCATCATGTTAAAAGAATGTCCAGTGGGAACATACCCTAATTTCCACATGATCTCAAAGGCGCGAAGCGAATCAATTAAATTCCCTAATTTAAGTGACTTCTTCAACAATTTTGACAAAAGTGCAAAAGATGGTACAAAACCAATTGCATGCATCTCTTCAACAAAAAAGATTGCATCTTCTAACTTCCCAGATGATAAAGTACCATTGCAAAGTATATTAAAAGTTAAAGCATTTGGAGAAGGCCCAAATCTTTTCATTCTAAGATATAGTTCTACCAATACTTGAAGTGAGACATTTCTAGACTTGAAATAACAATGCATTAACTTATTAAAATCATACACAGTAGGCTTTCCAGATATGTTCCCCATAAAATTCAAAGTATATAAAGCTTGCTTGAAATCACCTGAGGTGGCATAATCCTGCATTCTAAGCTTCAATTCTTCATAATTACAGCTATGTGAATTGCCATTAGTTTCCTCAGATATATCAACTCTTCTAAGAGCACAAGAAGAGGAAAAGTTTATAGAGGAACGAAACATTTGGCGAAATTGGATTGAGAAACAAATTGCAGGAATTGCACAAAAACGCATTGGAGGATGAAGAAAGGATTAGAAGCTTGGACACAATACAAGTATAATCGCATTTAGAGGAGAGTAAGAAACAGTTTAGTTGCTGAGAAGATGAAAGAAAGGAAATTAGAAAGAAAAAGAGATAAAAAGGCTATGGACTGCGGACCTCATCTACATGATGGGTGTTTTCCGGCGGCATATGTGCGAACTATGGCCGACGCCCCCTATTTGATCGAGGCGGCGGCTGGAACCGGGTATTCAATCCCGCCGCTAAGATTCTCAGTTCACTCTACTCCTTAACCTTGATATAAAGATGGCTAATAACGAAGTCAGACTTGAAGTTCAGCATGAAAGTCAAGAGAGAAGCAATCGGCGACGAGCCATGAGGAAGAAAAAATAAGAAACCGAATGAGCATTGTTCGAAAATCCTGCATCAAAAACGACATAGTTTGGATGATGGATTTTTTATTATTATTTTGAATAATTATTATCTGTAATATCTATCTACGTCTAATTTATAGTTAGAATATATATCTACGTCTAATTTATAGTAACTTATACGAAAGCCGGATCATTGCAGCATTGTTCGAAAATCCTGCATCAAAAACGACATAGTTTGGATATGGAATTTTTTTATTATTATTTTTTGAATAATTTTATCTGTAATATCTATCTACGTCTAATTTATTAGTTAGAATATATATCTACGTCTAATTTATAGTTAGAATATATATAATAATATATAATATATATATATATATATATATATATAAGGGGAAAATATAGAGATTACGAAAATAAAGATAATTTAATATAGAGATTCGAAAAATAAAGATAATTTATTTTTATTAAAAAAAAGATAATAAATATAACATCTCTGTATATATAATGTCATAGTTCTTTTAGTGGGTCCTCATTTTTTAAAATACGTTAAAACATCCGGAATGCATATATAATAGGTTACAAATTTTAATTTATCATTTAAAAATATCTAATTTTATATTTTTATAATAATAAAATGTCTCTTGACGCAGTTGAAATTTTATGTTAACCGGAATGCTACATGATTAATACTTGGCTTGTTTTTAAAATGAAAATTATTTTCTAATTTTTCTCCCTCTTCTAAGGCAAATTCCTCCTTCATCATTTTTCTCTCACGCTCTCCCTCTCTTTCTCTCTCACACACACACTCTCTCTCTCTCTCCCTCTCTCTTTCTCTCTCTCTTTTTCTTTTGCTTTATGAACCCTAAATCAATTTCTTATTATCTTTCATCTCAATAAACAAACTATACAAAAGGATCAATAATTATTTGATTGTCATTGAAGAACCTCTTCTAAAGCTTAAACATCTAATTCACTTCTCCTTATCTTTTGCTAATCTTCTTTTTTTTTTTTTCTTGTACACTCTTAATTTCCATATCAAAAATCAATTTCTATTCATGGAAACTATATTAGTCGATCTTCATAGGATTTCGGATCGTAGAAAAATCAATGTTCATTAGATTTTCACATCAAAATCAATCTTTATCAAATTTGAGCATTAATCTAGCAACAGTTGAAGTGGAAAGGAAAGAAAATAAATTGGGTAAAAAAAAAAGGAAAAGAGATATAAGAAAGGAAAGAAAGAGAAATAAGGGAAAAGAGAGAAAAAAATGAAAAAGGAAAGATCTTCACGGGATCTAGACATTAATCCAGTAGTAGTTGAAACGGAAAGAAATAACAGAAGCAAGGAGAGAAAAAATGGAGAGAGAGAGAAAAAAATATGAAAAAGTTGAAATTACGACAAAATGCATTTACCGTTACAAAAACCTAAGATTAGGTATTTTTAAGTGACAAATTGAAATTGGTACCCCCTTTAAATGATTATCCTTATAATTCATGTCTTTTCATTGAAAACAATCCGTCAAATAATCCTTAAATGTATACAAATACCCTAAACTTTTTGTATTATAATACTTCTTTTTCTTCTAATTTCAATCCTTATTTTGACCAAAACATAAGCTTCCATTATACATCTCTCTCTTCTCTACTTCTGTGTTTATACTTTGGGATAGAAGCTCATCATCCATGGAAGTTATAGGTTATGAACATATGGGTTTTGCTAGGATTTGTTAGAGTGAAGACAAAAGCCACTGATCGCAATTTCAATTATGGATTTCAAGTTTTCTCTCTCTAAAATCCTTGTATCAAACATGTGTCTCAAGCTTTCTCTATGTAAAAACTCCTTACTCTTACTATTTCTCACTTTTGATGTTTTGAAGTTGAATAGAGATTTTAAAAATGGTGTATAATGGCTATTAATTTACAGGTCACAAAGAAAAATTCATTTTTGGTGATTATAGATAGTAGTTTATTTCACCTGTTTCTTCTTTTTCCTTCCATTCTCTCCCTCTGTGCATAGCTCCCCTCCAAAAATGAACAAAAGAAAAATGGAGAAGGAGGGTCATTGTGTTATTAAAATTATTTCTCTCACCTCATAATGGGCTTTTGACAAAAATAATGTTCTTCGGAAACTATTTTACAATCTAATGTCATTTCAAAATTATTTACCAATCTAAAGTTTTTCCAGACTTAGAGAAAGAGTGTTGCACAATTGGTGGTTTCAATGCAATAGAAAAAGTAACACATACTAATAAGCAGTCAGCAAAAAGTAATTATATGAATAAACAATAATTTTATGTTGTATTGACACCACCAATTCAATTGGTTGTTTTAATACAGAATAAAAATTTTAAGTTGTCAATTTGCCTTTTCACCAAAACAAACAATGCATTTGGTAAATTTTAAGTTGTCAATTTGCCTTTTCACCAAAACAAACAATGCATTTGGTAGTTTTAGTGCAACTATGGTATGTGACTACTAGCTAGCAAAAAGTACATTGTAAAATAGTGTTTCGTTAAGAGTCCACCAGATTAATTAGTGGTTTCAATAAATAATATTTATTCGCTCAAAATATTTTTTCACTAAAACACATTTATAATTTGGTAGTTTTGATTCACAATTATTTCAAGTTAAGTAATAACAACATAAGTTTTATTACACAGTTAAAAATTACTGAGAGTAATAAAGTGTTTTGAATTGAACTTGTATGATGTTAAAACATTTCTTGATAACTAATATATAGAAAACTAATCATATTAATATCTACCCACATGTCCTCCTATACCACACCTTGGAGGGCTCCTTTCACGGTGTGGATTTTAGCATACTGCATCTTCTCTAATACCTTGATATTCTTCTCCATACTCAATATTTATATCGACACTCATGCGAGAATCTTGAACCACATTTACAAATGGTTGTTGTAGGCTAGAAAATGTCAGAGAGTCTATTGCTCGGGTACCGTCATCATCTCAAAGAAATCATTAAATGAGTGTCTAGCATGAGATGTAGATCCATCACGTGTGCCGAAACACACTGTAGAAGCACTGAAAGCAGGTATTGTATATTGAAATGGTGTTGCCTCGCTTATTTCGGAGAAAGAAGTATGGGTTTGCTGGGTTGTCATTATCAGAGTGTAATGAATGTTCAATAGCATTGCTAATGCTGCAGATGGTATACTACATTCAAGTTGTAATGCGGAAGATGATGTGCTAGGGATATTAGAGTGATAACCTTCATAATAGTTATATGTCATAGGAAGAGAGACTTGAGGTATATCCTCTCTTGGTAGGACTTTAACTGGAATACGTCTAGATGTTATTTCACGTCTCTTTCGCGTCTGTAGTTTTTGTGGTGTTTGAACACGAGGAAACTCTATAGATGGAGGGGCAGGTTGAAGAATACCTTGATATTCTTCATTCATTACGCCGAATAGGCTAAATAATTTTCAATGGAATAATGGATTTCTACGTGTTGGTGATGTTGAACTGAGATATATATATTGGAATCCATTTGCCTGTATTAGAAACATATTATGGAAATAAGAGCAAAATTTATTATTCAATTAGATTAAGAAATGATAAGATAAGATAAAAAGATATCACATAGTTACCACAGCTTCAACTTCTACACCTTGAAATGATTTTATTGCAATATTCTCTCTTCATGTCAGGATAAACATTAAATTAGTAAATAATTTTAAAATGACATTAAATTGAGAAATAGTCTTATGAAAAGCATTATTTTTGCCAAACACCCCCTCATAATTGCATTTTGTACGATGTAGGCTCGTAAATGGAAAAGAGTACAAAATATTGACAGGGGGACTATATATAGCAAGGGAGAAACTAATGTATTTCAAAAGCAAAAAAGAAAAAAAAAAAAAAAAAAAAAAAAAAAAAAAACGGAGGACCAACTGTGACATTATAATCAAGATATGGTGATATTAAATATAATTATTTTCATTAAAATAAATATAATTTAAATTTCATTCCGCTGACTTAATTTTTCCTATGTATCTTATTTTAACCTAGGTGAATCACATTTTTTTAACAAGTGAATTAATCAACCAGACCCTTTACCCTTTACTATTCCTAACACCAAATATGTCAACCTATGGTTTAATTTATTAAATTTAACTTATTTTAAAAAAAAATTAAGAAACAAAAAAAAAAAAAAAAAAAAAAAAAAAAAAAAACGAGGACCAACTGTGACATTATACAGATATGGTGATATAATAGTAATTATTTTCATTAAAAAATAAATATAATTTAAATTTCATTGCTGACATTAATTTTCTATGTAAATCTAAATTTTAACCTAAGGTAGACATTTTTTTAACAGTGATTATCAACCAGACCCTTTACCCTTTAACTATTCCTAACAAATATTCAACTATGGTTTATTTTTAAATTAACTTATTTAAAAAAAAAATTAAGAAACTCAATAGATTCTGTAATTATATGCTTTCTAGACAATCAGGAATGCAAATTAGGGAGGGGAAAAAAGTGGAAAAGAAAATCAAACAATTTAAGCAAGAAACTGAAAAGCTTTCAACCATGATGTACTCAAATGATCAAATCTCAAGCTTTATATATACTCAACCATTTTGACATCGACCTTTCTCTACAACATAGCAAATAACATGTGAAGAAAAGATATCGTGAAGGAGCAAAATATCACTTCAATTTCAGACAACTACAACCAGCATGCTCAAAGGGGCTTTTGACCCATAACAGAACCCAGAAACAAAGGGAGTACTGGGAACAAGCACCTGAGAACTATACAACCATAACCAAGTAGTATATATGCATATCTCTTTTTCCCACCTCAAACGAAATATTTCCTACTTATATACTTCTAATCCACAATTTTCAAGAAAACCAAAGATGAATAACTGAACAATTCACCAAGTCGATCAAGTAACTGTCACTGACTCTGATGTTGAGGAACCAGAAGAAGAGGCACTGGCTTCACCGACAACATTCTTTAGTTTCACAGATGAACACTCGGCTGGTGAACCAGATTCAGAAACATCACCAATATCCAAAGTGTCGGGAAGATTTTCAGGAAACTCAAAAGGGTCAAACTGCATATGCAAAAACAAAATATTAGGTTTACAAAATTAAGTTTAACATGTAATTTGCACAATCATTTCATCAGAATGATTCCAAGTCCCAAGAGGGCAGGCTTTTCAAGAAATCAGTTTGTCAGTATGTTAAGGACGGATTAAAAGCAGCCTTAACTTGTAGTTTATTCAATAGACCTGGCAATAATCAGAAAGCATAATAACAGATCTGATCAAAATACCTAAGAAAAGTCCATTTTATCTTGATCAATTCAGAAGCAGTTTCCATATATGCATGTGTCAGGACAGGTGCATAAACTTTTGGCTAGAAGAGGATGCATTCACCCAGAAAACAACATAATAACAGTTCCAAAAAAGCCAAGCAAAGAGATAGTATGTCACTAAAAACACACTAAATGGACATTTTAATTACTTCAACTCTGATTATTGATTCTTTTCCGATCGAGATGTATGGCTCCGAGTCTATGTGTCTAAATAGATCCTGTTCATGGATTAACGGAAAAAAAAAAGAGAGAGAAGAATATACCTCAAGTTCCTTCAACATATCAATAGTCGCTTCCAAGTCACCCTGGTTTGCCATGTAGACATCATTAAGGGACTCATCAGATATGCCCGGAAACGTCATCTGAAGGTATTCTAAATCCATGTCAAATTCTTCATCCATCATCTGCTTCTCTGTCATTTCATTGGGATTTTGTGACGATGAACCAGAAAAACCATGGGCAGAGTGACTTTTCAGCACAGATATTTGAGGAATGGAAGAAGCTTGATCATGCTGCCTGTTCAGTGTAGCATGCTCTGCAGATCCATACCAGACGGTTTGATTGCCACCCTGAGAAACTTTTGCAGTCACTCCAGGAAATTCAATTTTTTCAGATGCTTCTCTTTTAGACAATGGAATGTATGATGCTGCATAAGGATTCAATGTGGATACTCCTTGCTTCATTGCCTTATTGTGAAAGCAGATTGCTGTTTGACTCAAAACAAACAAATAGGGAAAGTCATTATTTGCAAATACCATATATCATGAAACAATCGTCAGAAACTTCCAATTCTTTACAAACCATTCACAGGCTAAGGTTTCCCAACTTTAGCTGCATAGGGACGTAACAAAAGCAAGCAATTTATCTGACAAAATGATACTAACATAGGGGAGATGGTCCAAGCCAATCTCAACTGCTTCATTAAGTACATTGAAAAACCAGGATAAGTGCTCAGAATAAACGGCCATAGGCAAGGATAAAATCTTGTACATTTGCATTAAGTTGCATTGATATATATACAATCCATCAATCCAGGTAAATATAATAACCCAACTTCACAAGGAACATCAAAATTACTGCTTTACTAGGCCAGAACCCAACATAAGAAAAGGAAGAAGTTCTTTTACATGTACAAAGCAGAGAGGAGAAAAACCTAAAATTGCTTACAACAATACATATTTTCCACTCCACCATAATCACTTCATGCAATTCTGAAAATGCAAATAAAATTTCTGCAATAGGCTATACAAAGAAACACCTTGTCTTGATCCTCAACCAACCTTTCTCAAGCCATAAACCATATTTAAAACAAAAAACTAAAATGATATTTAAATAATGTTTCAATATGCAATAACAATGCCCATCCAATCAAAGGCAAATATTAAACCAACCAGAAAAAATATGCTTTGCACTTTGATTCTATTTGCCTTTCTAACATTTTCCCAAGAAACTAATACAAAAATACCACGTACCAAAACGTGCAAGTTATTCTTCCATTATTTCACATTTCTCAAGCTAGAGGGCAACATTCTCAAATCTCCCGAATCAACGAGTATCAACAAACAAATCAATACATAATCCGATCAAATAATCCAATAGAAAAATCATGATCGATTTAGAATATGGAATTGATGCTTAAAAGCGACGATCAAACGAAAAATGGAAAAGCAGAGGAAGCATAATACTAAATCAAACTAGCTACAAAGATCAATAGCGATACAAAACTTCAATAATTAAATTCAAGAACATAACGACATAGGAAAACACGTAAAATCTGATGGTATATAACATACCTCTAAAGATGGGTGAAAGAGCCCGAACGGGAAACTTCTTGAAAAGCTATGAATGAAACCCTAAATTCCTGTTTTCGGTTTCCAATTTGAGATCGAAAGGGAGCGAAAGAAGAAGAAAGTGTGAGAATTGAGAAAAAGATGTAAGAGAAAAATTGCATTAAAAACGGTAGCTCATCGATTGATTATGTATATTGAAAGAGGGGTTCAGGAATAATAAATAGACAAAAAATTTGTCGCCACTTTAATGATTTTAATTAATTCATATTTAATAACTCACGAATTTTGGCATTTCATTAATTTTTTTTAAACTACATTTAATTCAACTCGGAGCTTTTTAATAGTTAAGCTCTTTATCTTTTCCTGTAGATGCATTTAATGGAATCGAATCCAAAAATTTTTTCTATGTGCTCCACTTGTATTGACAATTGAACCACAATCAAATGGCATTTCATTAATTTGATGATTTTCATTTTCATTATAATTTTAATTTAACTAGTCATTTATAGCCGTGTTGCACCAAATGTTTAATTTTATTATTTATTTAATAAAAATTCATATACCATTAGCTTATAAATCTTCCAATAAAGTCAAATTAGTAGATCAGATATGGTCTGATTAATCTTCCTATTTCTCATATAAGATGTACAAAGCGAGAGGGATCGAGTTCGAGTCTCCTCCACCGCATTAGTTATCACAAATTTATTAAATGTCATTCAAATGAGAAGGCTACACATTGAGGCTCCCATGTATAAAAAAAATAAAAGTAAAATTAAAAAAAAATATTAGATTGATGATAAATTTAGTTCAAATGAATTCAATCTAAAATTAATTTATAAATAAAATTTTATATTTCCAAAAAAATTTAAAAATAAAAAAATTTATTTATAAAATATTAGTGACATAATAGTTTTAAAGGGTTGGGAGAATAAAGAGTTTTGTCATAAAATTTTTTATTTTTCAAGTTTTTTTTTGAATTCATTTGAAAATTTCTACCTTTTTTAATAGTATTTAATTTAGTTATAATCAAATTTATAAAATTGAATTCATTGAATTAATTCTTATTTTTTATATACCAAACACAAAGAATTAAATTTATAAATGAAATTTACAAAATTTTATGAAATTAATTTATTAAAAAAAATTAATATTGATAAATGAACTTGAAATTGTTGTCATCAATGAATTAACCATTAATTTTTATATTGGTCAATACATAATTTAATGACTGAATTCTAGAATTGACATTGTAACACATGAACTCCACTTTTTACAACAATCTCAGCAAAATATCGATTTGATATATGGTTAATTCGATTTTTGAAATAATAATTTTTATATTTTTCAATTATCTAATAATTGTTTAATGGATTTAATTGAAGTTTTTAATAGGTCAAATTAAAGAGTTAATAGATAAAATTTTATAAGTTAAAGTATCCGATCAGTTAAAGTAAAATTTGAGAGTAATATAGATGTTTCGTGAAAAAATACATGAGTAAACTTATTTATTTAGCATTTTTTATTATTTATCTATAAATGTTATTTAAAAAAATCATCCATATTTAAATTAAATTAAAATTTAATAAAAAAAATTAGTCTCTTCTTGTTATAAGTGAATACCATTGATTTATTGATTTCTTATGGAAAAAAAATGAACCGCTCTGTGAAATTTAAAGAAAAAAGGAAGCACAAAGTAGAATTTAATTTGACGCTCCACCTATTAATTGGAAAAAATATTGAAATAAAAGTGAGTGTCTCAATTTAGTAGTTAATGAAATAAAATAATTTTACTAAAAAAAAAAAAAAAAAGCCTTTTTAAAGTAATTCCGATCAGTTTAAAGTAAAATTTGGAGAGTAATATAGATTGTTTCCGTAAGAGAAAAATCATCCTGAAGTAAACTTATTTATTTAGCATTTTTTTATTATTTTATCTAATCACACTGTGTTTTTATTTAAAAAAAAATGCATCCATAATTTAAATTAAATTAAAAATTTTAATAAAAAAAATTAAGTCGCTTCTTGTTATAAGTGAATACCATTGATTTTATTGATTTCTTATGGAAAACCAAAATGAACCGCTCTGGTGAATTTAAAAAGGAAGCACAAAGTAGAATTTATTTGAACGCTGCCACGCTTTAATTGGAAAAAAATCCATTGAAAAATAAAAAGTGGCCAGTGTCTCAATTCTAGTGAGTTAAATGAAAATAAAATAAATTTTACTAAAAAAAAAGACAAAAGCTTTTTTAGTCTTTCACTGAGACATCCTTCACACGACACAGTATATAATTTTTAGAGAGATAACACTTATTAGTCGCAGGTGTAGCTAACCACTAAGGGCCTGAGCATGAACTGTCCTGTTCGTTTCAAGCTGATTGAAAACTTTTTTTAAAATAGACCAAATCGAAATTGAACAGTACCTGAACACTAAAATGATAATAAGTATGATTTTGTGTTTTATTGTTGATATGATTTTTATCACATTTTCCTGATTTGGTTTTTAAATGCTCAATCGATTGATTCTCTATGTACAATCATTCGAACCGAATAATAAATTCAATTTCCAAATTGAATGAAACCAATTAAATTAAACCTCTCTTAAAACACCTTATACGCGAAACGCAAAATCCAAAAAAGATTGGTGCGGTTTTCGGTTGTAGCCCTTTTCCCGCACACCCCAGAGCTTAAAAAAAAAAAAAAAAAGCCTTTTTATCTTTTCACTGGGCATTTAACGACAAGTATAAATTTTAGATGGAATAACTTATTAGTCCAGTGTAGCTAACCACTAGGGCTGAGCATACTGTCTGTTCGGTTCAAGCTGAATTGAAACTTTTTAAAATAGACCAAATCGAAATTGACATCTGAACTAAAATGAAATAGTTGATTTGGTTTATTTTGATTGATTTTACCATTTTGATTTGGTTTAAACTCAATCGATGAATTTCTATGCAATCAATTCGAACCGAATAATAAATTCAATTCCAATTGAATGAACCAATTAATTAAACCTCTCTTAAACACTTAACCGAACCAAATCCAAAAGATTGGTGCGGTTCGGTTGGTAGTTTTGCACACCCAGGCTAACCACTGCCCTTGAGAAAATTGTACCTAATCATGATAATATATTGATTAATACTCCCTTCATCTCATTTTATTTGCATGGTTTGACAGAACACAAATATAAAAATTTAATCAAAAAATATTTTTTGCCCTTTTTTATGTTTAATAACTCATTAAAATATTAATTAAAACTTTTCATTTAATAAATAATTATACATATTATTATGGCAAAACCAATATGTTGGGATATCTAAAAAAGAAACAAGCAAATAAAATGGGATAAAAAGTATATTTTTGAAAGCGTTTGGACTAAGCAATTTATTTTATAAATCTAAAGGCAATAAATAGTAAATTTTTACATTTAGCTTTAGATATTAATAAATGAAAATTACTAAACCAATAAACGGAACAAAATAATATAAACGACGACGCGATATAAATGAAAACAGGAATGTGGATGAGGCGAGTACGAGCATGACCATGGCAGTGGTTCTTCACTGCTCTCAATCTTTCCTCTCAACTCCTTTGTTTAGGTACCTTATGTGTATATATGTATATATTTATATACAAATTCATGTGCATATGGATTATTGTTTTGCTACCTAAAGTTGTGTTTCTCTATTGGAGTTGCAGGAACCAGAGTACAGTACCGCTAAGCGAGAAGAAATGTAGATTAAAAAATAAGATAATGATGCGTAGTTGTGTTGCTTCTTCAAAACCCACTTCTATAAATGGGTTTTCAAGGCGGGATTTGGTGCTTTTTTGTCTATCTTCTTCAATGTCCATTGCCTTCCCATCTTTGGGTAAGCTTTAGGTTGATTCAGGCAATCTATACTCGAGTTTTGTAGTTTATATTTTGATTTTTTTTTGTTGCGGTTGATCAGAGAAATTAAAGAAAAAGTTCATTTAAGGGAAACTGTAACTTATAAGTTAGCCTTTTCCTCTTCAATTTTATGTTTCCTTTCTCATGGATTACATTAGCTCTATTGCAGGGTCCCTTGCAGAGGAGGATCTAAAAATGGATTCATCAGTTGATGAAATAAATGCATATACTTATTTATACCCAGTGGAATTATCGTCTAAGAACTTCCGCTTCAAATGGTAGGCATTTGGCATCCAAATTTCAGCTCTTTAATACTGTTATTTTAAGTTTCAATTGGGCAAATGGCAATCATTTTGTTTGTGTGAAGTGGAATAAGAAAAAGATTAGCAAAAAGAGGGACTAGAATTTGCAGTTTCTGATTCAATGGAGTTCTTCTTGAATAGTTTAACTCTAGTGGGAATTACTTTAGATGGATTTGAGGTTTCTGGTAGAAACTAAAAAGAATACTTATATTTTCTTTCACAAGTGGAATATATACAACTCAAATGTGCTTTAAAATCAATCTCTAAATTATGTTGTGGATAACATACTTTATTTCTACTAAGATGTAAAGAACTAAATAGTTCTTCTTTACAAGTATTATGGGGACATGACTGGTCTATGCTTTGTTTTCTGAAGGGTAGAGTCAAGAAAGCCAGAGCGTTATTCATCAGCAGCACCATTGTCCCGTAAGTTCAATTAATTTGTTATGCAGGTGATGAAACTTGTAGTAACATGAACTTTTTGAAATTATTGATTCTCTTTCTGGATGTTAATTGAGGTGCATGTTTTTCTACTTTTATGAAAAATTAAGGACTGTATTGGCCTCAATACAGTCTGAAAAAAGCATATAACTGACTTCATAGTGGGATAAATTTATGCAGCTGATGCACGCCTGCGCATTGTGTCTGAACGGGTTGACATTATTGATAACCTCATCATTTCTGTTACAGTAAGATTCACGCAGCCATATGCCAACTACATGCAACCAATTTCTTTAAGGATTATGATTTTATTTCTTTGATTCAGATAGGTCCCCCAAATTCTCAGTTCCTAAAATCCAAGGATAAGAGTACCTGGATTGCAAAAGATGTTGCTGATTCGGTTTTATCAGACAAGTCTGCACTGGTAATGTGTCTCCTTACCCCTTTTCACTGCAAGTGTTCAGTTTTGGCAAAAGTATGTGATGGTCATTTGTTTCTTAGGACCACTGAGACAAGAACTGTATGAAAAACTTGATACTAGAATGCTACTTGCAGTTTTAGTTGAATTCACTTATCGTATTAACATTGTCTCAAAATTCATACGACATCAAATTAGTGTGCAAACCAATATTTGATACATATTATCTGTGTCCTAGCAACCTCAAAGTACAACTATTGTCATTCAAACCTATGTTCAAGGAACATTTCTATACATACTTTTCCACAAAACACAATGGCTAAGGATTTAGCCTTTAAATGGGTTTATTGATTAATGAGTTTAATTTGATAAAACCATTTCCATAACTGGATTATTAGTTGGGACATCATCCATTTTGGGGATTCTTGAGTTCTATTTCTTGAGAAAGCATAACACATTTAAAAAAAAATGGTGCTAGTTTGACAACCTGTGTCTTCCATTTTGGCAGCGAGTCACCTCAAGTCAACGTTTGGCAGAGAGCTCAGTTCTCGATGCACACAATAGTGAAGTAAGCTCCAAATCCTTTCATCTTGTTGTGTCTAATATTTGATATGCATATCGACACATTCATGTAGCAGACTCTAACTAGTTTGGGAATTTGTATATTGGCACATGCATATGTTTCTAGATATGGTACTAGTTGCATGAATCATGTCTCAATTATACTTTCTTCCCTCAGATTGATGGCGAGCCGTACTGGTATTATGAATACCTGGTACGCAAGTCCCCCACCAAAAACGTAAGTGTCTTCTTTCTCAGAGGAATTCCTGTTTGAGATGTGGGCATAATGTTATGGGTTGTTGATGCTTTGAATGGGAGTTGCAGGTCCAAGAATCAAACCTTTTTCGGCACTACGTTTCATCAACAGCTGAGCGAGATGGTAGGAACCTTAAAATTTTTTGTTAAGCAATGACATAAACATTTATCCAATTCACTTCTAAGTTGCAACTGAATTCACTGTTCCAATTTATACTGATATCCTCTCTTGAAAGAACTTTACGAATTGTTTGAATATCTAAGTAAAAGTGAAAACCCTGACCCATTGAACGTCTACATGGATGGATCATCACATCAGTCAAGAAAACAGTGAGATGCTTTTAATCAAAATGTAGACTACTGAAACAAGAAGAAAAGGAATAAATATTGAGTTGATAGAAGGTTCAAATAGAATATTGAAATTTGAGTATTTAATGTTCGCCAGTGTGATTCAGCAAGTTTGATCATTGGAACTGTATTCATTCCCTTGTTCCTCCTGAAGCACTCTGCATATTTTGTGATTAGGGCCTTTCCGAACTTCTATTCACTCTTAGAAAACCTTAATTGCAGGTTACCTGTATACGTTAAACGCATCAACTCTTAGCAAACAATGGGACAAGGTCTCTCTCTCTCTCACAGATATATTTGTGTTTGTAAGCATGCTTCTACAAAATTATCTGTGCAAAAAGTATTTATTGAGCCTAACAAGAAATCATCTTTATGTGATTTAGATGGGACCTTTCCTGGAAAAAACTGTGGCTTCATTTCGCCTCATCCCTCCGACAGATAACTATGTACCTCCATATAAGGACCCATGGAGATTTTGGTGATAGCAAAAGTTACTTTCTTCTTTATTTTTGATTTTTCTTCACCAATTCTCTAACAATAGGTTAAAACTTCACTAAGCTTGTAATCATCAACATTATTCTTTTTATCTTATGAGTATATTCAGATTCGTATTAACAAGTGGAAGAGTTAAGGGTATTTCATAGTTCTTGTTATGGTTGATCCAGGAACCATCAGATTTTGTTGTTTTCCATTTTCTGTGTGCTGCTTTCAGTCATGAGCATGAATTGAAGAGTGAAATTATTAGTTCGAAAGCATGATAAATAGAACATAATGGTTAAAGTTGAATGAAACTTTTATAGGTCGCAAATCCTCAAATGTAAACATTCAACTGAAATCCCACAATATTTGCATATACTTCTGGGAGTTTGCAGGCCAACATTTGAGACATTGAAATTGGAAACAATAAACTGAGGCTTGAGAATTGAAAGTTTATAATCATTGACCCAAAATAAAACCAACCCATTTTAAAATCTGTACTAAGCAAAGTTGATATCTGGACTAAGCAAAAACCATAAGGGCACATTCAAGAACATTTATGAACCCCCTTTATGCTCAAGTATACATTGAAGACTAAAACCAAATGCTATTGGCCAGGGATATTTATTGAAAATTTTCATCATCTAAATTTGATTTCACCTTGTAGAAGAGCGTAAAAGGAGTAAACATATGAACAAGCTCATTCATTTTTGAGCAAAGAATAATGAAATATCTACATCTAATTTTACATGCTATATCTTTTCCTCTTTCTATTAGATTGTACTAAAATTGATATGAACAGACAATTCATGCACTGATGAGAATGCCTGCCAGCTGCTCTGTTAAAGATCTTGCTTGTTCCAAATTATAATAGCTGGCAAAATTGTAGCAAAGGCTTAATTAGTCCTGTGATGTAGCAGAATATTCAAAAAGTAGGCGTTTTGAAGGAGCAGATTGCAGGAGCACTCTCAAGCGGCTTGTAAGCTGATAGATCAAAGTCCATTGCATGGCCATCTCCGAGTCCTTCATCTGCCTTACAATTGAGGCCTAAAAAGATATGGAAAAAGATGAATATTTCAGATGATTATTACACAATTAAACATAAAGAATCTTAACTAGTCATCTTTTGGCAATGTTTGAATAATTATACTTTAGATAACCACCAAATATGTAAGCTATTTTTCGTCATCCTTTTTTTTTTTTTTTTTTTTGGCATGTTTCTTGAATAATTAATACTTTAGATAAACACCAAAATATGCTAAGGTCTATTTTCGTCGATCCTTTTTTTTTCTTTTTTTTTGAATTTTTCAAGAATCAGATAAGAAATCTGTTAGAAAAAGAAGAAACTTCTTTTTTTTTTTTTTTTTGAATTTTCAGAATCAGATAAGAAAATTTTAGAAAAGAAGAAAAAGAATTGCCTTCAAGAAATAAGAATTAGGAAAATATTAGGAGAACTGAGGTAACCTGAAGATGTTTCCCAAGCTGCACCTCTACTTCAGTACCAAATGAGATGTTATTGGCCAGCGATTTAAGAGGATCAATGGTAGGATCCATAGAAAGTAAACTAGGAATTTGTGGGGCATAGACTAGCCTCCACCTAGCCTGACCAAACTCCCCCTTCCCTTCTATTCTTGGCATCAGTGTTTCAAGTGTTGCCGTAGCAAGCTTTTTAAATGCAAGCTGGCCATCGCCCTCTAATATGGACTCTGCTAATTGGCTTTCAAAAACTCTAGCAGCCTGAGAAAGGGAAATTTTGATAAAGATCAGATTATTCAAATCTACAAAATCAAAAAGGTTTTAATCAGAAATTTTGAACCCTAAATGAGATCATAAGCTAAAAAAAAGGGATATACGTATGCATTATCATAAAAAATTGCATGAAATCCCTCAACCATCGCCCCTCCCCCTCCCCTTTTACCACCTGATAGACAATAATCGATTAGACAAACACCATAGAAGACGTGAGATGTCTATGAATCTTCAAATTGGCAATATCTAAAACCTCATGTTTGAGACTTTTTCTTTGTTACCTCAGTAGGTGAGAGAGCATCCTGCTCCACAGAACGTGTTGAGGTCACCACAAGTTTGTCTTGCCAATTGCTGGCTCGGCTTTGTATCCTGAATTGCCACTCAGATCCAACCAAAGCTAAGTCTAGCATAGGATCTAGTCCATACTCGGGCTCAAATTTTGCTATATTTAGATGCTCCCGCTTAAGCCTTACCTGTATTTCAGGAGGTCAATGCAGCATATTTAGTGAAACAGAAGCCAGCCTAATCAAAATGAAGGGCATGCTTTCTGGACAAATATTTAACCGCAATAAAAATACAATGCTCACTTGAGTAGCAACAAGATTGACATCACCATTTTCAAATGTTAGAACACCTTTAGGTTTTATCCATTTTGGATGAGCCAAGCCATTTAGCTCAAGTTCTCCACTAACGGCAAAGTTTAGAATCAGAGGATAAAATATCCTTAACTCTGGTCCTAACACAAGCTTCAAATCACTTAGACGAACATCTACATTCGGTTTAATGCTAAGTTGCTCCAAATCCTTTTCAACTTCAGTTGATTTAACTGCAAATGGACAAAAAAAAAAATTAATAATTAAAATTTCACAGAACTATCATTGATAAGGTAAAATAAATAGCTTATAAGTAATGCATTTTATTAACAAAGAAAATCCTTTCCAGTCCAGTCATCCTTTCAAGTCTGACCCTTGTAATTCAGTGTGAAGAAATATTTAAAGAGTTCGAAAGTTTTCATTCATTTTCAAGTGCGTTCTAAGTAGTCTGAAAAGGTAGCTAAATGTTGATTTTCTAGCATCAGCAAATGGTTATAAGTAGAATAATTTGACATGATACAGGGAAATTGATGAATAATGTGTTACCAGTAGTTTGAGGGAACTTGGTCTTTGAAGCAGCAGGTTCTGCACTGAAAAACCGAGAAACATATCTAGAAGCAACTGCTCGATTGAGCCCCCGGCCTGGAAGGCTAGACTGGTTTGATGCCAATCTATTAAAAGAAGCGCCTCCACTACCCTTATCATGTGGTAGATATGCTTCTCCATGACTCAATTTAATATTTCCTGAGATATTTGGCTGTAGTATAGAACCAGTTATTTGCAACTGAGTGTCAACCTGGCCACTGAAATTAGTTCAATATCAGTTCTCTCTGTACCAGACAGAGAATATTAAGAAGTTAAAACAGCTAACAGCCAAAAACAAAAATTTCAGCATTTCAAGTTCCAAGTGCACAAGGAGAAATAAGCAGTGTTCTTTTGCTAAGTGCACAGAACCAATATAGTTAGAAAACAGGACCTATCACGTATTCATAAATTTAACTGAATAAAGAATATATCAAGTTAGAAATAAGTACCTCAAGATATTCTTTGCCCGTACTTCCAGGAATTCACATTTTAAGTCAATTTTATCACCAAGAGATCCTTCACTTGTTCTGAGGGGCAGATTGCCTTTTACAAATAGCTTTCCCTTCCTGCTTACCCGGCTCTCCAGTAAAGTGATGCATAGCCTATTTGATTTTACATGAACTGTCCCGCCAAAATTTGTAAGTGGCTGTCGGAGTACTGGTGAAGATATAGATGCTCTGTGGAAGGAGGCAAATCCATCAAGCACGGGTTGTTCAACTGTACCTCTGACCTGTTTGATTAGAAACACACCAAAAGCATCATGAAAATAATCCTGAGTGGTAGATGGCAAAAATGGACAGATATTGCAACCATGCAAGAAGCAGAAGTCCACAAGGTACATATCTTAACACACCTCAAGCATAATATCGGCATTGCCATTAAGCCAGTTGACATATGGAGATAAAGCTGTCAACAACATCATTCCCCCATCCTTGATATCAGCATCTACCCTAACTTCTCCCACATCTAAGAAATTCCAATTCAGGACTTTTAAGCTTTCTGCTAATTGAGTATTCCAACCTTCATCATTTCTCTCTCTAAAAAGTTTCTTCTCACTGGCTTCATCAGCAGACTCTCTACTCCTTTCCTTCACCCAACCAGGGATCCAAGTTGCTCCATTTTTATCTGCTTCTTTGTTTTCTTCCTCCGATGAGTTATTTTGCACAAAATTAATGGGAATACTTCCTTGGATATGTACATGACCATTTTGGATGATTGGTTCAAACTTGGCATTGAATAGAAAACGACTGGCAGAGGTTAGGGAAGCAACAATTTCAGCTCGTCCAAGATCGATGCCCCCAATAGCACCATCCAAGAGCCTCACTTGCACATCACATTCTGGTTTTTCAAGACTTCCTCTCAGATCTCCTTCCATATGCAATATACCTCGAATTGGAGCTAAAAGTTGTCGCAGAGAATGAACCATGTCAGAAGCTGAAGATTCAATGACCTGAACCACAGTTGGGACGAGGCTGACAGGAAAATTCAGAACAGCAAAATGAAGATTGGTTTTTGGCCCTAACAAAGTGCCATCAGCATGTATAGTGGCATTATCCTTTTGGATAAATATCCTCTCAAGACGCAAACCATCATTGTTGCTGTATGCACCAACTGCTAGAACACGCTGACTTTTGTAGGTTCCCCATTCCTGAACCACAGTTGGGACGAGGCTGACAGGAAAATTCAGAACAGCAAAATGAAGATTGGTTTTTGGCCCTAACAAAGTGCCATCAGCATGTATAGTGGCATTATCCTTTTGGATAAATATCCTCTCAAGACGCAAACCATCATTGTTGCTGTATGCACCAACTGCTAGAACACGCTGACTTTTGTAGGTTCCCCATTCCCAATCCTCACCATGCAAATCAAATTCTGCCTGGCAAACACATGGTTGTCAGAAGACAGATTAGGTATAATTTCCCCATGAAAAAATTGAAAATATCTATACCATTGTGTCCCCATTTCCTCCACCACTAGCATCAAGAGAACCATGCCAACGACCTTTAAGCTCAGACAAACCTGGAAGACTTATGTCTTCCAAAATGACTTCATTTGATGGAGTATAATGTCCTCGAATTACCTGAAATTTTATAAAAGCTGTGAAGTCACAAAGAAAATAGACATTGGACCAGATATATGTTTCAAACCAATTGATCTTAAATGCCAGATGCATTTTCATAAGTAATGAAGATGCTGAATCAAATCAATGAAATACCTCGATCAAGTCCTGAAGACTTTCAGGATACAATGTTATCGACTGCAAACTTTGAATGAAAAGGTCCTGAGAGGAAGAATAGCAACAATTAGTAATCTCAAATTGAAAATATTAGCAACATTGCAAAAAGTAAATTAAATGAGCAGTCATTTGTTTTTTTATCTACTTTCAGACTAATGATACATGATACTTCAAATGTGTTTAAGCAAAATACAACCTTTGATCTAGATAGAACAGCGGGATCTGTACTTCGAGAAAGAAGCCTTGCAAGTGGAAGCATCTCAGCAACCTCAGCTCGAGGAACTTCAAGTCTCATTCTCCATCTTCCCATAGAAGAAATGACACTGCCTAGTTGCCCAGTCATTGCCCTTTTGAACAGACCATCTCTTTCTTTTCCAGCAAGGTTCCTATCTCGGGTGCCAGGCAACACATATTCACCTTGAAGTTCATAGCGGCTATTGATTTGCTCCAGAACAGTTTTCTCAACAATGATCTAAAAGTTACCACCTCACCCAGTAAGAACATCAGCCATATCATTGTGAATGCAATGAGCACAAAGAAAAGAAATATCAAATCATCATCAGGGAGCCCTGCTGCAATGGTAATATTCATCCATTTTAACCCAGAGGTCAGTGGGTTAAAACCACTGAAAAACCTCTTGCAAATGCAAGAAAACCCCATGTACTGAGATATTTAAAAACCACACATATGTTTCTTATATAGATGTTGAAGCTCATACTAAACACAATGCAAGTATTCATTTTTTTAGTTATTCATTTAAATGGGATCAAGGTGCAATTTCTGGTAACAACCACTGACAGTACATAACTTCAGAACATCTCAATTATGTAAAGATTATTGACAAGAAAACAAAAGAAAATGGATGTGTTGCACATATTTTCTCAAAGATGAGCTTTGAAAAACACTAATCGACCTGAATATCATATAGTATAAAACTAGGCCGAAAACATCAATTGTCCCCTGAACTTGCATAAAAGTCTTGTGGCCCCTTATACTTTAGAAATGACCTTGTGCCCCTTAAACTTGTTTTTTTTTTTGTAATTTACACACGCCTGGTGAGAGCCAAATGCATCGAGTGAATAACACGCGCAACGATGTGGACTGGTGGCAAAACAACTGGTAATTAGGCTGCCATGGTGGATTCCAGTCACCTGGTTTGATTTCCTGTTCTCTTTCTTTTTGTTTTCTTCTTCTTAAACTTGTTCTCTTTCTTTCTATTTTCTTTTTCTTAAAACTTCAAAAAAATGCAGAAAGCTCTGCTTTGCAAAATCTAATCCTGCTCTACTTTCGATTTTGTGTTGTTCCATTTTCGATTTTTTGTTTGTTCCATTTTCGAAATATCAACAACATCAATATAAGGCTACGCTTGTATAACAAACGTCAAGCCAGCCTCTTTGCCAGATTTCGAAGAACTCCCTTTGCATCTCTACCGCAACAAGATCCATAGTTATTGCTCTCATTCATTGGCTTATCCATTTCACCAAGCTCTTTCCTAGATCTCTTCGTCCAAGTGAGTCCCATTTTAATGCAAATACTTCACATTTATCTCTTTTTCTTCTTTTCCTTTTCCATTTCTTTTGAATTAAAGTGATCTTTTTACTTTCCATATTGCTGGAACTAGCATCTCTTGAATTGTTATTGTTGGATTTTGAGATACCAGTAGATTTTTTAGGAATTTTCCTTTTCTTGGTACAGGTTTTGGGTTTGGTGGTGCAATTACTGTTATCCAAAATGAACTTTGAAGTTTTGAAGGAGATTGGTATTTGGGGTTGAAAAAATGCAAGTGAGATTTAATGGAGGAAGAGAAAATGCAGTAGGTTGCCATGTAAGATGCTCTTATGTGACTAACTCGCTCATTTCACGCGTGTGTTTCACATCCCATTTGCTGATGTGGCCATGTTATGGCGCTGCTTGACTTAGGGTAGTTTTACTGCTATTTACGGTGTTTTTATTTAGTTATTCAGTGTTTATCATGTTATTATCGGGCTGCTGGACTTAGGGTAGTTTTACTGCTATTTACGGTGTTTTTATTTAGTTATTCAGTGTTTATCATGTTATTATCAGTTTCTTTGTTAATGGGTGTTAGTGGGGTGGTTAAGCTAGTTATTTATCGTAATGGGTAGTTATTAGTTGGTAGTGGGTAGTTTTAGTTTTGCATTTAGTTGTTTAAAAGGTTGTGATATCAGGAAAAATGTAAGCAGAATTTCATGAAAATGTTTTGAGTTCCTAAAATTCAGAGATTGTAGGGTTCTCTCTTAACGACCTCTAGGAGATTGCAGATTCTCTCTAAGTCTGTCACCACTGATGGAAGGAAGAAGACTCCTTCTAAGATACTCATCTCAAACCGGATCCCCTAATTCGAAGACCCATAACTAGATCCAAATTTGGGACCATAACAATTGGTATCAGAGCCAACAGTTATGGGCGAATCTGTTCAAGACCAGCTTACCAAACTCTTCAATTTACTCTTATTCGAGCAGCAGGCCAATCAGACCCGTAATGAGAAGGTTGAACAACTTCGTGCCAAATTGGATGCCATGTCTTTTGACTTGGAATCCACAAAGAAGGGGCTGACTTCTTCAAGTGCTGAAAGTCAAGCACTGAAAGCAAAGGGTCCAATAGGTTCAGCCAGTCTAGAATCTCCTAAGGGCACTACAACTGTTTCGAAATTCACAGAGTGGAGGTTCTTGGACCACCTATGAGGAGTAATAATTTAGGAAAGTTGGCAAAATTGGAACAACCTAAAACCGCCGCAGAGCGAATAGAGAGCGAATAGTTTTCCAGCAAATGTTTCAAGTCTCAATAGTTGTGTGTACAGAAGATAGAGCGGAGCAAAAGAAAGAAATAATCAAACATCAATTGTTAGCACAATTAGAGGGTCTTGCTTGTGATTTGACAGCCTCTAAATGGGAAGGGCGTGGGAAGAAGCAATTCGAGAATGACATAGAGGAAACATTAGAAGAGATATTTGATCCAGGAATATTAATTAAATATAGAAGCACAATAAACAGCTCCTTATTTGCAGAATAATAGAGGGTGATAAGGATTTTGTTTGCATCGCATTTTCACAAGTTGAAGATTGCATGTCATCCATCCTTTGCGCTTGAGGACAAGCACTTTTTCAAGGGGTGTAATGTTATGGCGCTGCTTGACTTAGGGTAGTTTTACTGCTATTTAGGGTGTTTTTATTTAGTTATTCAGTGTTTATCATGTTATTATCAGTCTTTGTTAGTGGCTATTAGTTGGGGTGGGTTAAGCAAGTAACTATATGTAATGGGTAGTGGGGTAGTTTTAGCTTTACATTTAGTTGTTTAAAAGGCTGTTATCATCAGGGAAAAATGTAAAGCAATTTATGAAAAGGTTTTGAGTTCCTAAAACTCAGAGATTGTAGAGTTCTCTCTTAACGAGCTCCTAGGGAGATTGCAGATTCTCTCTAAGTCTGTCACCACTGATAGAGGGAAAGAAAACTTCCGTCTAAGATTACCCATTTCTCAAACCTGATTTCCCTAATTTCAAAGGACCCATAACTAGATTTTCCTAATTTGGGACCCTGTATGCCCATAACCCACAGGTCCCAGGGATCGGAAACCTGGCTCTGATACCCAAATTTGTTATGGTCCCAAATTGGATCTAGTTATGGGCTTGAATTAGGGAATCGCGGTTTGAGATGGCGTATCTTAGAAGGAGTTTTCTTCCTTTCTATCAATGGTGACAGACTTAGAGAGAATCTGCAATCTCCTAGGAGCTCGTTAGAGAGAAACTCTACAATCTTCTGAGTTTTAGGAACTTCAAAACTTTTCTAAAAAATCTGCTACATTTCCTGATATAACAGCCTTTTTTTAAACAACTAAATGCTAAAGCCTAAAACTTACCCACTACCCACTAATAACTACCCATTAAATAAGTTACTTGCTTAACCACCCCACTTTTAATAGCCACTAACAAAGAAACTGAATAACATGATTAAACACTGAATAACTAAATAAAAACATAACAAAGAAACTGATAATAACATGATAAACACTGAATAACTAAATAAAAACACCGTAAATAGCAGTAAAACTACCCTAAGTCAAGCAGCGCCATAACAGGCCAAGCATGCATAAATTACAAAAAAACAAGTTTAGAGGGCCACAAGGTCATTTAGTATGGAGGGCCACAAGACTTTTATCCACAAGTTCAGGGGGTAATTGATGTGTTCGGCCTATAAAACTAGGATATGATTAGAAAACATGCAACTGCAGACTGCAAATGCTTCACAACCACCAAATACATAAATCAATCTCAAACAAAATCAACACGAGAAGATATTATTTTAGGATATTTTAATCCTTGGCTTATAGAATCCACAGTGCTTCAACCAAGCAGTGAACCAAATTAGTAAGATTCATTATACAGAGAGTTTAGGCACTCACAACATCTCCGCTCCATCTAGCAGCCACATCTAAGGCTTCACCAAGAACACCACTAAATTTCGGACGAAGAACAGATAACACACCATGACCTCTTCTTTTCTGAAGATTAAGCTGAATTTCTGCCTGAAAGTAAACACAGAACTAAGGACTAAGCAACATTTTTTAAGTGTAAAATAAATACCACTACATTAATCAAACACCATAAAACAACTAGAACTGCATCTTGCTACCAGTAATTAGCAGTAGCAGAACATTAGTTGTGATTAGATTTGAAACATCATAAACAAGAGTAAAAGTCAGAAGCAGTTAACGTCCAGTGACATTATTACAAGAATGCACAGCTAAATACTTTTATCAGATTTCAGATATCTATTGAAATGATGAATTTTCTTTTCAAAGCAGGAGTTTTGGAGAAGCCAAAACCGGGAGAAATCATCCAAGTCCCTGAATGAGATCCATATACATGGATTGAGCCAACATCTAACCTAGATATTAAGACAATTGATCAATGGGCGTTTCCAAGTTGTAAGTTACAAGTTGGGCATCATCTTTTACTGTTGATTCTTCATTCGCTTCATTCTCACATTTGCATATCCAACACGTCCCACAACTAAACATAAATTGGTTGAGTTGATTTTGCATATTGTTCGCCAGCAACTACAACTAAAGATAAGGGCTTCCAAACAAAAGTAAACTCAGAGTTAAGAATTTTCATCCAATGTTTTATTGCCATCACAATAAGGCTGCCACCTTGAGGGGGAAAAATATTAATTACCTGACGAGATGAGTTTGGTTTCTGGTGATTTCACAAAGATGATGTTATCCTACCGCAATACTGTTTATAGAAATTAATTCCTGGATTATTTACATCTGAGAGTAGGTATGGATTACCATAGTTGGGACTTCAGATGTTTTCTTTTTGTCTATCAGATTAGCTCAGAAAGAGAGCAAAAAGTTGCTAAACAGTTATAGGTATAATAGCACTAGCTTAAGGATCATATCATTTATTCTTCTCCTTTACAATCTCATTAAGAGATTTGTTTCATGGAGTTTAACAATCACTTGAACATGATAAAACTGGCTGCAAATGTTACTCTTGAAACTTAAAAGCATAACACAATCAGTTATGATATTCATCTAATGGCGGCAACTTCATCATGATTAGTAAGGCCAAAGTAAAACACACATAATTTCAATCAGAAACTTAAATGCACATGAAAATCAAGCTTAGCAAGCTTAAATGCACATGACACATATGCATGCACGTACCTTTTTCATCTGCCTTATGTGAAAGGAGACCGAAAGGCACAAAAAAAAAAAAAAAAAAATAACCTTTTTCATCTGCTATGTGAAAGGAGACCGAAAGGCCACAAAAAAAAAAAAAAAAAAAGTTTATTGGATTGCACGTATCCTTACCACCGGAACCACCTCAAGAACAATTCCAATGCAAACTGGAAAGGGATTGACTTAAAAATTTCAACAATGGAAAAAAAAAAAAAAAAAAAAGTTATGGATTGCACGTATCCTTACCACCGGGAACCACCTCAAGAACAATTCCAATGCAAACTGAAAGGATTGACTTAAAATTCAACAATGGCCTTGGCTTACCCTTTGTACTGTTCCCCGAAGTGAAGCCAACTCCAATTCATCCAGTGGCAGATGGCGAACCTACAGCCAATTCATAAATAGGCACAAAGTCAATTAGTCTTAACTTTTTCCCAAAAGGAAATGCTTTTTTTTACAGAGAACAGAGATAAAAAGAACCAAAGTCAAGGCATCCCAAGTGCATGAGCAATTTGCAAGGATCAGGGTAGGGCCTACTGCCATACACAGTGCCTCCCCCCTGCATTTCTTGCTAAGAGCCTGTTTCAATGAATCAAACCCATAACCTTCCAGTTGCAAAAGGAGCAACCCTACCATTGTACAAAGGGCCACCCTCCAAAATACAGAATCAAAATTATGCTAGTTTAGAAAACACGGGATTTAAAGATACCTCCAAGGTAGCAGAATGTAGAGGTTGAAAAGACATATTAACTCTTAGTTGCCCCTTCTGAAGGGAAAAAGATAACAGTTTTCCACTGTGTGTGTTTTCTTCACCACTAGGTTGTAATGGCCCCACAACCTCAACAGCAAGACTTTCATCTGGCCTACCCAAGGCATCCAACTGCACTATCAGAAAGCTTACATTTCAGAATTCTTGCTATATGAAAAAATAAATAAAATAAAACAGGTGATATGTTGAACATATTAAATATTCTCAGAGATTAGAAATCAATAAAGACATTCCTAAACAAGATCAATGACTCGGGCTCCGTTGCAGCTGCATAGCCACATAGACAGAGCAATATAGGTTTTCCAAGTTCTATCATTGCATATTCATAACAACAAAGGATAATATTGCGAGATGAAATAATTAAGCCATTACTTTGATACGGTCCCGTGAAATGCCCAACTGCCCGACCAATTGAGGTGCCAGCATCAATTGATTCAATCTGAGACCTGATACTGAAACTTCACCAAAAAGACTTTCTTTGTTCCCCTCTATTTGCCCATGGGACGTGTTCTTCTCAAAATGAAGATCCTGGTCATTAGCAACAGTAGAAGGCTTCACAACCTTCCCCTGAAATTTGATTTTTCCAGTTGCTTTGAGGTGTGAAGGTCTTGGAGAATCAAAAGGATAAGAAGAGACCAAGCTAAAGAACTCGAAACCACGCATACGCAGATCCAATTCAACTCCTTCAACAGTAAATGGAATGCCACTCCTTGAATCAAACTCTTTTCTGTCTAGCCAGCAGTCGTCACAATAAGTAGTTTGAACTTTGGTGTATAATTCAAAAGCAACGGATGAAGAATTCACTGTAATGTAATCATGTGATATCATGATGTCTCCTCGAGCATCACTAAACGATCCTTCAGCTTTTGGTGCAATCCACTTGATGTCAAACCTCCTGAAAAAGATGCATATCCAACCGATACAAAGTAATGAACATGCAAACACAAAATAAGGGGAAAAAACGAAAAAAGAAGCATAAAGATGCAATAATGAGATCTTAAAGGAAATTCATGAGGCTCACGGTCTCAGAAGGGATCCCGAAAGTTTTGTTTCTCCTGTCAGGTCCCCTAATTTTAGTGGCATCAGCTGAAGATAACCTGGAAAATATCGATGCATGATCTTATCAAAGAACAAATTCCCAGAGAAATTTATATCCATTGCCGTATCATCCACCTCACCCTGTTGTAATAGAGTATTTGACATCAGAATTGAGAAATAAAATAATCTAAGAAACCAAATACTCAAAGTTTCATCATACAAGGATTAACCATAACATATTCTATTTTATTTTTATTACAAATTGGAGGGGTAGAGGTGAATGAATGGATAATAGGTCACAACCCGTGAAGTTAAAGTGAGTAATCTGGCTTACTTGGGTTTGGGTCCAATGCTAAAAAGTTAGTACCAACCAATTAACTGGCTAGCTTTACGCCCTTATATGCCCTTTTGTGGATTTTTATTTAAACAATGTGGAATCTTAACAACCCCTGAAGTGCACCAGGATTGGACTTCCGATTGACACTTGAAACTTGAAATCTCCCCCCTGAAAGATCTTCAGCGTCTATCCGCACCAGGTATATTTCCTCAGCGGAAGGGATGGAGTTTTAATTAGAATTTTGATTAGCTTGGTAGAATAGAAATTTTTATTATATATATTTTATATTTTAACTATAACTATATTATACAACTATACAAATTTATATAACTATATGTGTGTGTGTGTGTGTTTGTGTAGTTATAGTTATTATTTGTTACATCTGAGTCCAATAAAGCAAGTTCACCCGAGGGTCGGATCAAAAAGGGCCTTGAAGACAGCAGATTTGCCGCTGGTATACGATTCCAGGAAAAAGATCAGTCTCATCTCACCAAATGTTATCATTACAAACATACTTCCCCGATTTCGCTGTGAAGTTAATCCTTGACTGTGATTAAACGGTCAAAAAGCTATAATGTGTCAAACTAGATCATTTGGAGTATGCATATGATGATCCAGCTATAATCACGTAATGTATTCTTCCAGAGTTAGAAGATTTAACATGAATACAACAAGCCAAAATAGTAAAAATCTAGAAAGCTCATGAACCAGGAAGACATAATGTCCAATTTCATAAAAAAGAAGACAAAAACCCAAATGTGGGCATATGCATTTGTGTCTGTATATGTATGTGAGTAGTGTCTAGCATAAGTATTTTACCTCGGGGCAAATCCAAGCATTCCCTGCCCCCCGAATTTCACCACCATCCACAAGGCTAGCTCTAATTCCATACATGTCAGCAACCTAAGAAGTGAAAGTAAACTCTATAAAATTTAACAAGCTAATCAGAAACTTTATATAACACATACAACAGTGCTGAAATTGGAATGACATTGCCATTCTTTTTTCACATGCTCCACTATCCAAAACAACTTACACAATTATCAGTGTTAAATGTGAAATTAGCAGACAGATATGAAAATGGAACACGGTCAAATGCTGCCACAGCACCAGCCTCTTTGCTTTTCAACATTGCTTCATATGCAACAGATATAGGGACATCTGAAACTGGATGAGATATCTTCCTGGAAACCATTCCACTTCCCACAAATATAGGAGCATCCAGGGGACCTTGACAGTTGAATACGGCAGTTACAGAACCAGCTAACTGCAGCCAATACAGAAAGAAGATGAAGTGTTTTTTTTTGTTTGATTTCACAAAAACAATAAACCAATTGATTCAGAAGACAGGAATTGCATGCCAAGCAATTTTCTCGTACGAATTTCTATTCATATTGAAAGATCTTATGCAAAATGGGTGGCTGAATGGATGAAGAATTCCACATTGAGAGTGTTGATGTACGCAGCCCTTCTCCTGCTTTTGCAGAGAGATTGTTTTCATGGCTTGTACCCATGACCTCCAGCTCACAAATGGAGTAACTTTACCATTACAACAAGCCACCCTCATCAAGGACTTATGCAAACGGAAAATAAATTTGTGAAACTTTAAGTTACATATTTAAACAGAGAGTTAAAAATTTGTGTGTTGTTTGGGGGGTTGGGAAATAAATTTGTGAAACTTTTAAGTTACATATTTAACAGAGAGTTAAAAAATATTGTGTGTTGTTTGGGGTGGTTGGGGGGGGGGGGGGTGTGGGTTGATGAATGTCTGGATACACTTTACCGGGGGGGGGGGGGGGGGTGTGGTTGATGAAGTCTGGATACACTTACCGGAAATAAAAAAGGTCTCATCTTAAATGTTTTCATCAGGGCATTTACTTCTACACTAGGAACCTGAATAAACCAAGAATGCAATCATTAGTTGAGTACAGAAGAATAAGAAGAGACTAAAGAGAAAGTAACAACAAACAAGCTATTGTAACAGGTTATTTTAACATTTGCAAGGTACTGTTTATGGGTTCAATCCACTAATTCTGTTCACAGGCAATATTCACAGTGTGCAACCACTACCGGACATGAAAGCTGTTCGAATTTGTATCAGAGGTTCAAGATCCTTTAAGTCTTCTTCTTTACTCTTCCTCAATGATGGTGACAGCTGCTGAATTAAACCAAAGCTTGATTATCACCAAGATTGTGAAGATAAAAAAACGAGATTGGATACAATGGAAGCTAAGCTGGATAAGGAGCTTAAGATGATAGCTCCTTTGATCTCTAGCAAGCAACCAATAGGATGACCAGTCAAATCCTTTCTCAAAAGGTACACAAGAGGGCTACTGAAGATCCTTAAGCTGTCCTGGAATGATAGAGGACAATTGCAACAAGATACAGCAGGTAAAATTACTGGAAAGACAAGATAGAGGCTACAGAATTTGAAGATATGTTAGGACCTGCACTATTTTGTGATTGGCACAATAAGGGAGAATATTATAAAGCCAGGTTTATTGAGATGAAACTTATTGGATTGACTAAAATATGATCGTACCGAGAGATTGCAGTCAACCCCAAATTATTATGCTTCAGGAGAACAAAGCTAAGCTGCAAGAGAAGTATTTGCCAGTTGCCACATTATTATCTTGAAAAGACACAAAAAGGTGAACCCTTGCAAATGGTTCACCTTCGATCTCACATGGAAACATAGATCAATCAAGCATCGCCACCAGTTTATCAAATGTGAAGGATACCCACAATATTCCACCAACATGAACTTCTATGAAGAAGAAGGGAAATATACACACGTCCTCTCTAATTTCTCCTCTTTTCTCACCTTTTCCTCCTTCACATGTATTTACAATTTGAATCTAATTTTTACTTGTTGACAGAAATAAGATATCAAAGGATATGACAAGAAAAACTCAAAAACAATTTACAACAAAGATAGATGTAAATTAAGTTGCATAGACCTTTTCGCAAAACCAACTTGCTCATGGTATTATAGATCAATGAGAGGAATTATCATAAAACCCAGATTTATCAGATAGATTACTAACTAAAAAGATTATATCTATACACATACACACATGCGCACGCATTGGTTTTGAAAAAAATCCCACAGACTAACAGCCATATTTTCAATTTCGAGATTGACATCCTCCAAAATGGTTGCAATCATCTTTTGATCCCAATAAAGGTTAAAGTAATTCACATTTGATACAATGAATTATTCCGAAATCAAGAGTTACAAGCATCAAAAGCATGGGCAATCATAAATTCCACACCTGACACATAAGATGGAACTCTCCTTCCTCTGGATGAATGCCAAAATCTCCAGAAGCTTCTAAAGGAACATTGCCAAACCAGCCACTTGCATTGTGTAAGAATACTCGTTGACCACGAAAACATAAACTTGCTGAAGTGTCCTGTGAAAGGCACAAACAGGTGATCCAGTGCAAGATTTTGAAATTAAATTATTTCCAAATTTCGAAATAAAAAAACAAAGTGAAGAGTATAATTAAAAAAAGCTTTAAGACTGATATACATTGAAAACTAAAACATGAGAAACACACAAGTAAACATCTACAAGAAAAGGAGGGAAGGAAACCATTTTTAGAACTTATAGGACCAGAACATACATGGAATGATGATGGAGCATCAAAGATTTGAAATGCTAATCCTGTAACATCAAGCTGGCCATGAATATTAGGAAATGTTTCACCCCTTGACATGCAAATATGAACCTGCAAACATGAAATGTATACACTATTAATAATGGCAACAAAAAAAAAAAGAAGAAATTAAGATTATAATAGATAAAGAAATTTATACTCCTCTGACCAATGAGTTTTGAGAGAACAAATATGAAGAAAAAAAGCACTAGATTCCTTTTCTCCCTTGAAATAGATAACTTCAGTCTATGGACTTAGTGCAACACCTTAGACTTGCTAAGGAAGATAATTGTTAAGCTCCATAGCCAGAGAAGAAACCGGAAACCATATAAAGATAATATCTATTTCTAGTGTTATGATTAATCAAATTTCATAAACTTAGCTGACTAATCAATTTGAAATAATAATAATAATAAAAAAAAAAATATATGAAACATATCAAACTCCAAAGTAGCTGCTCCATTCATAAGAGCATAGAGGCAAATCATGAATAGAAAAAATAACAAAATAAATTATGGATCTAACCTAACATTAGAAGAACTAAGAACCTGTAGGCTAAAGAAGGACAAAAATTTACATTCCAAATAACAAGAATAAAGCTTAAACACAGTGTTTGACTCTAAGAAATTTGTTCATGCTGGATTCTAACATCTGATGTGGGAACACGCTTTATAATCAAATATCCCTAATTTAGCAGCATTTTGAGTTAGAAGAAAGAATATATTAAAAACTTTCCCATGAAAGCAAATTATTAAATCACATATAAAATGCAAAGTAACTTGAAATAGACAGTACTATAGATTAAGAAATCTTGAATATGCTGATATAGTTCTTAAAAGAAGTCAAAAAGAGAAAAAATTGAATGCAAGTTAGAGAAGCACCTCACCGGTGGCTCTCCCTTTGGACCAAGCAATTGGAATTCCTAAAATCCTTTCAAAAAGCTGTGAAAAAGGAGAAGGTTCACATATCATATATTAATTTTTTCTTTTTTAAGCAAAAGGTCATAAGAATTTAAATTATGCAGATCACATCCAATACCTTACCGGAGCAAAGAGTTTGGCAATTTTTAAATTAGCATGCCATTGCTGCTCAATGCTATCAACAAAAACATCTGCAGATAACCAGCCACCATCTTCAGATACTTCATCAGATCTCCACATCTTACAGTTGCCATTCAACTGGACAAACACCCGACCATAGTGATTTTGGAACTTAAAATGTCCATTGACATTCTCCATCTCTCTAGATGATAATCATAAAAAAAGAATCAATGACTTAATTGTTCAAAAATATAAAACTTCATGGGGGAAAAAACTTCATCTTGTATCAGAAAATGCATTTTATGAAAAATCACTAGCATCTTCTTTTGCAGTAGAACAAAATAAATGGACCAACCATAAAATTTCAGATATTTTTATGATAGTCAAACTGTTAAACTTGACCCACAATTCTAAGCAAACACTATAAAAGGCGAGTTGTACAAGCATCCATATGTATGGGCTCTAGGAAGGATTGATAAACGCAGCCTTCCCCCTACATTTCTGTAGAGAGGGTGTTTCAGAAGCTCGAATGCATGATCTCTAGGTCACAAGTGGAGTAAATTTACCATTACATCAAATCCACCCTCTTTCTAGACAGACACTATGAGGAAAAAAATATGAATGAACCACATTCCACACAGCATCAAAGTTTCAAGATTTATAT